GAGAGAGAGAGATGAGAGAGAAACAAACAAAGCAAGCAAGAGAGAACACAAAACACAGAGGCAAAAATGTAACGGGCAGCAGGGAAGGAGGAGCGTGGGGCCGGGGGTTCGGGGGGTCGGGGAGGGTGGGGAGCGAGGTCAGAGAAAGCTGGAAAGAAAACGGGGATGATGGATGGATGACGGATCCGTACCTCGAGCTCGTCGTAGTGGACGTTGGCGACGGCAGGGGACTGTTGGCTGTGTGGGGAAGTACTTGTGTCCTTCCAAAGGTCGGACTGTCCTCAAAAGAAGTGTCCATGGGGCGGCGCGAGGGCGCTGTGGCTGCCAGACGCTGCTGGCCAGATGGGGATGGGGGTTGTACAGGGCGGCTTTGAGTGATGTGAAAGGTGAGGTTCTGGCGCTGGTCGGCTGGGGCCTGGGAGTGGGCGTGGGCGTGAGCGTGGGTGCGGGAGTGATCAAGCTGTGACATCGACTGCTATGCAACCGTCCTGGTGGACCTGAGGCTCGGGGCCAATGGGTGAAAGGGGCGCCGCCGGAATCCAACACAAGACAGGCTCGCTGAGGTTTCGAGCTCCCTTGGGGATTCCTGATTGACGTTGCATGAATTGAAAACCAGGTTCCTTCCTGCTCTTACGGGCCTGGATCCCGTGAACCTATGCTACCAGCCACAGACTGAGTGCTGACTGGCAGCGATGCCACAATTCCAGGAGTGAGCACGAAGCACGAGGAGACAACCTGTGGCTCCCAGGTTTAGGCTTGGTTGTGAGGTTCGGCTTCCAGGAATAGGAGCGAGCAGCAACGCGCGCGACAGATTTGACCCAGCGAGATCCTGGGCGCGACAAAAGCAGTGGTGTACGGTGTCTGGGGGCGAGTGGCACGTTCGAGGCCCTTGTCGCGGGTGCGATGGACCTCGGACAGACGCAGGTCGGTGGTGGTTGGCACTCTCAGATAACGATTGCAATTTGTAAAGACAGAGGAGCGTATCCTCCCCTTTGCCATACAAGATCAAGATATAAAGAAAGGGTGTTCTGGGCTTCTTCCTGATTTTGTTTTTGGAGATCGTTGGGTGATTTGGGGGAGCGCCGCTCGCAGACAAGGGCTCACCACCAAGCCGGGCTCTTGCCATCGCCTGTCGATTCTCTCTCCCATCTCAATCAAATCGGACGGTCTCGTGCACTGTCCCGCGCTCCGCGCTAGGGCAAAGATGGCTGCATGCCCAGTGCAGGTAAGCACGGTGGAAGACAAAGTTTAGGAAGTTTAGGACCCTTGGCAGCTTGGCACCTGCTGCATCTTGCTGGCCGCGGCAGTCTGCTGCAACCACTAAGTGCGGCTACCACCCCAATAAAGAAACCCTCTTGCGCACAGTAACCAGCAATCCTCGCCTTTGGATGCCCATCGTGAGACCTGCACTTGGGCATTCGTCCTACCTCTCTAGCCACGGCCTGCGAGTCGTGTTTCCAGCAATGACGAATTGGCGAATGGCCATTCCGTCCCATGTTGCTCTGCCCGGCACAAGATGGTCAGATGAAGATCGCAAGCTTTGGAGCTGCCGGCTCACCCCTGTAAGTTTTCGTCTCTATCGAAAATTTTCGCACTGTTGGAAGCGAGAGTGTGGGAGCGCCCTTCCCCGGCTGGCTTCCGAACCCCAGACTCGGCTGTGAGTCTGATATCATTTACTCACACGCTATCTGCCGCGCTGCGATCCCTACAAAACCCGGGTCTCCGGCTGTTGATTGCAAGCAGTCAGTGTAATTTCATCATCTGTTGTATGCACTGCACTCAACTCTAAACCATGCGTGATTTCGCTCGACAATCCTGGATACAACTGACTGTTTCGGAGCTTTGTTGAGACACACATCATTCCCATCAACAATTCAGATCTTGCCCAGCAAACCCCGGAAGAGACGCTCCTCGCTAATGCACGCATGAGGGTTGCGCTAGCAGATACCAGGACAGGGGGCACTTGGAACCATGTTGACTTGCAGAAACTGAAGCGACGCCATTGGTTAAGTGAATGAGATCTCCAATTCAAGATGCGTCATCCTGAGCGGCTTCATCTGCAACGATGGACTTGCCGGCATTCGCTTGTCCGAATCCAGGGGCAAATGGGAGATTCAGCGACATGCCGGCCCTCTCGGCGCTTTCGAGATCCCATGGAGGCCTTTTGTTAAAGCAGCTTCTGTCAGTCATTGGAATGTGAAACCGGCTGTTCTCCCGCCATTAGACAGGCTGTCCCCTAGGAAACTTTCTGCACCGCTGGAATGGTCGTGTGAACGAAAAGTTTGTTTCCGAGAAAAAAAAGCTCCCACCACATGACAATATCATTAGGATACGCGGGACTAGGATATGTGTATGAAGTATACTACCACCCTACTTTCCAGGCCGTAATATGTGTGTAAGTTATAGGCGCTCTGGATTCCGACTGGTCACTAGGCCCTAGCCATGTCTTGCAATCAGGTGTCTCTGTTCCAGGCAAATTACATTCACCACTTCCATCGTGGAAGCCGTCAGGCCGAGTCTGCCATTTCCGATCAGAGCAACCTGATGCTTTGTCTACGTGTCTGCGTATCCATCAGCCTCGTTCGATCTCTTCGGCCTGGAAGACCCTGTCCGTATCAGAGAAGCAGAAACGCGGCTCGCAGGCATCTCCTGGCGCGAGATATTTGGTGATCTGTATCTTGATCGTGGGAGCTTCCTCACCCAAGCTCACACTTTCCCTCACCACATCAGCGGCATTCGTCTTGCCGTTCCTGATGTGCCCTGCAGAAGTCAAGCCGAGACCAGTGGCAACCATCTGCAGGTACCGCTCGGTCACTACAACCGTCTTGGCTCCTCCTCCGTTACCCAACGCGGTTGCTAACAACTATCATACCTCCAAAGCTATCCTCTTATATTATGACTAAAGGGGTATTTAAGTGCTCATACCTGATGTTTTCGACTCTTATCGCAATCAGGACATTGCAGACAGGCTACCATATGTCCCTTTCCGTCTTTCACGTGCTCTGATCTGTCATCCATATTATCGATGCGAAATGGCATGTTCTCCTACCCTCAACGGAGATCTGCTCCGGTCAGGGACCCACCGAATGCCGGGCTCAACGGCGTTTAGCAGCTGAATCAGCCACAACAGCCAGTCATGTTCTGTTAACAGCATTCTTGACACTTCTCTCTCTTGTTTCTGCATCATCACTCTCCTGAGGTCATGTGAAAAGCGGTCTGACAATGGCAGTTATCACCCTCGATGATGGCTCACAGAAGAAGGATTCCCGACCTCGATGCTTCCGGGACGGCCCAGCCAACCACAATCTGGAGCGACGCTGTTTGTTTGAACTCTACGATCTTCAAGGGGTCTTGCAAGTTCTCGGTGATATGATGATGGTTTGTCCATCCGGGCATCGCTTGATTGGAATTGAAATTCTGACAACGAGATGGGTATCCAAACCTTCGCAAATCCCAAAAGTTTTGCAGTTCAGATCCCTCCCAAAAATACACCCTCCTTATGCAAGTCATCGCGGCATCTCCGGATTGAGCTCCCAACGGACGTGCTGATTGGATTTCGTGTCACAGCTGAGATAGCCCTCCTGAAATCCTACAGCGCATCCGGATTCCAAGAAGTTGTATCCACGACCTTGCCGCGGTAAACAAGCCGGGACTGACCACGTTGATGCTAGCTCCCGGAGCCCCCCAAAAGCGCGAACCATCACGGTGTCACCTTTGGATCCTCGTGGGAGGAGGAGTCAGGAGCTTTTTTTGGCGTGAAGTGGCGTGCAAGTTGGAAGATCGCAATCTGCAAACCAGATGAAGGTGTTCGTTCGCAGCCATGTTGTTTTTTCTTGTAGCTGGGCGCGCGTGCTCATCATCCGAAACGGTTCGGGATACCAGCCGACAGGAAAGCCGGCGTTGTCTCCCGAAACCCAATTGGCTGGTAACCGATCCCAAGAGCGTCGCAGAAGGGAGTACAGTGTGATTTCCCGGGCTGCTGGGGGCACAGTTTCAAGTGCTTGAGTGGATGACTTCCTGCTTTTCCAGGACTGCTTCTGGAATGGTTATCTGGTAAATCTGACAGGAACATCAACCTGTCGATGGTCTCGACATCAGTCCTCGCGGTCCGAGGATATGTCCACTATCATAGGGTCATTATGCTGTAGGTGCAGAACAACATCTAGAGATCCGCTGACGGTATCTTTCCTTCGTCCACCATTCCAATCCTCTATTCATTTATTTTTTTTTTTCCATTCATTCACTCCTTGGCTCACTGTTTCTTCTTTTTTTTTTCTAGGTTACCTGACCAAATCTTGAAGAGTTGCGAGCTTATATATAGCAGTTGCCTGCACGGTGTTTGGCATCTGCCGCTATGACACGAAAAGGCTCCCTCGTGTACCAACGTAAGTGTGAAAATGCCAAGCCGGACACATCCCTACTACAATTAGGCGAGGAGTCTCGGACTCATTGCTGCTGCCACCCGTTGACAAGCTCATTCACTATACCTTAATTGTCGGCTGCCTGCTTACTCGCCTCGTCCCGTCCCCAAGACTACCCACCTAACAATATCTACAAAATGGAGGCAGGTCAAGCCCCGGGCGGCCCGCTCACTTGTTTATGATCCGAAACGCACAAGCAGAGAGAAAGAGACAGGGAAGCAACCCCTTGCGGCAGGCCTACACCAATTTATCCACGGCTACCCCGCACCCCGATCTCGTCGCCGTTGGAGATCTCGAGATCTTGTGTAGCCTCGTTTAAGCTTCATCTTCACATCATACGGGATTTCATGGCCATGTCTGGACAGGGAAAGGCCAGGTCGGCGGTTAGGTCGCACAGCCTGTGAGATTGGTCATGCTTTTGGGGCCTGTGCTCTGCAGCATTGTTTCATGATGTAAACACAGTAGGGCCGAGGAAATTGAGCTTGTCAGAGCGGCGTTGATAGAGGAGGGGATATATTTGCAATGATCTTCATACGCCTGGAAACGTGCATGGTAACGGGTAAAAGATGACAATTTGGTGTTTCGAGATGCTGACCACCATCATGGGTTATTGCGCAGCCCAGGGCTGACTGAGCGGTTGTCTGATGTTTCGTGTCGGGGTATCTTGTCACGTGACTTCGGGTGCAATCTCCAGTCGCGCCTTCTCGCTTCCGTCTAGAAGCTGACCCCCTAAAAGGATGACGGGCCAGAAATTATATCTATTTCTTTCTTTCTTTCTTTCTTTCTTTCTTTGAGAGAGACTTATCTCTTTGGATACTCAACGTCTTTGAGCCATGAACAACTCCGCCAGCGGACGACTAAGACGATACAGCTCTAAGATATGCTTGCGAGCTCACTTTTGAGGATTCAGGCCGGGCAGGGAAGGAATAGTAGATGAAATGCTGCGCGCTTGAGTTTGACTTTATCAAATGGAAGCGACTCTTTGCCCCTTCCACATTATGACAGGAGCCACTGCAAAGCCCAAGTGCTTTGTGTTTGCTCTTCAAACTCGCATGCAACATTCTAACAGACTTCATTTGCTCTGGGATGCATCGGCATGTACAATAGCAGCACCAACAAGCCTTGGATATCAATATCACGATTGCTTTATCTCTTCTCTTGCCGTCTCATAATTTGATCTCAAACAGCTTTTACAAGGCATTTTCGCTGTCAGTCCTGCTGAAGCTTGTCCTGACAAATTTATCCCCCAACACCCCGCCACCACCTCCCTTTTCCTCCAGCTATGTACCTGGAACAACCCCCATTCCAAGGGCTGCGAAGAGCAGCACCTCAAAAGCCAAAGATGTGGCCAGGTGATCCAAACGGCGACATGACAGTCAGTTTTGAGGGTTTTGTTTGGCAGGTCAGGGAGCACATCATGACGACACACTTCCCCTGGATGCAGACTGCGTTTCCTCACCGCCGGCCGGTATGTTTACATAAATATTTACTCCCTCATCCTCAGAACTGACATGACCCAGGGGGAACACGCCGCCTTCTCCGGTATCTCAAACGGCACCACCCCCGAGGAGTTCGCCGCCCTACTCGAGTTCCTCCACACCAACGGTTCGTGACCCCAACTCCCGCCACTCTACCCCCTGAAAACTAACATATTAACCGACCAGAGTTCAACCACCAAACCTGGGAACAATCCCCCTCCTTCCTCAGCTACGTTCAAACGTACTACATCGCAGACAGTCTGCGTCTCGAAGCCCTGAAAAGCTAGTTACTTCAGTGCATCGGGGCGCTAGCTGAGACTGTTGTCAGCCTGCGCACACCGCACAAGCGGAGATTAAGGGAAGACTCGCACCTCGAGAAGAGGCACATCAAGTCTTTCATTGAGGCTGTTATTGTGGTTGAGTCGAGGAAGTGGAATGCCAAGATGCAGAAGGTTATGTATGATACGGGTGAGCGGTTGGGGAGTCAGTTGAAAGAGGATGAGGGGTTTCGGGAGTTTGTTGAGACGTTTCCGACGGGAAAGGTGTTTGCACGGGCTATTGGGCTGCTGTGATGGCGTGGTGTGGCGGTTAAGATGTTCTTTTATTAGTGTTGAACTCACGGAAGGGTAAGAAGCAGAGAGGGGTGGAATGTAGTCTCTTGCTGAGTGGTTGCTGTTGGATCATATCATAGGAATATTGTCACTTCCATCATCAACTCTTAACACCATTGATTCTCTTTGTGCTGAGAGTCGCTTTGGATCTTCAGCTGGACCTGATGATGTCTCCAGATCAATATTCCTCCCAAGTCCATGTAAGGGACACGGGGCCGTCAGTGTTCTGGGCCAAAATAGAAGGCCATGATTCCAAAGCTTTGCATCCTTGATATACCCAAGTTTATTTCACCTTCTATTCCCGCTCTTCATTCCATTTCTTCCTTTTCTTCTTGAATGTCTATTTTTCTTTTCCCGATCATTCCTCCGCTGCTTTTTCTGTTCTTTAATATCTTCCTTTATTCGGTCATCTTCGTTCCCTTCTTCCAGTTAATCATTCATTCATTCGCTCTTCCTTCATATTTTGGCAAAAACGAAGATAACGAGGAGTGAAAAGAGGCAAAAGGCAAAACATACAACACGGGGGATTCCCCAGTCGTCACCGACCTGAGTACTAACCCCGCCCTTAGTGGCTTATCTATGGGAGAGCGGACGGGATCCCGAGTTTTCCACTAGGTATGGTCGTATGTGATGAAGTGGTATGAATTGAGCTATTGATATTGCTATGGCCATCCATCATGTCCTTGATGCCCGAAAGGTTGACCATAAAGGTTGACCATTTGACGGCTTCAACATCTACTGCCTGCATTGCTCGGCATCACTTCTGGGGAACGACCATACCCTTGGCCACCAGATGAGCGTGCCAGCTTTAGGTTGGATAAACAGAGAAGTTGTCATCAAGAAAATGTCATCAATAACTCGGCAAACCGAGTGTTTTAAAATATCAAACAGTTCTTTGACAGGGTCAGATAATCAAGTCATCTTGGGGTTCTGGGGCCGGGAGTCTGCCAAACCCGAGCTGATGATGTCAGAAGCATAACTAGGGTTAGGGTTAACTGCGCTATCCTCGGCCACCGGCACAGATCGCCCGAGCCCTCCGGAACAGGACGACGTCGTCCGAGCAGTGCCGAGATATCGACCCTCAGACCCAGCAAAAAATGGTGGATGATCGTTTTATGATGTTCCCATCAATGAACTCTTCCGAGCCCTGGAACAACTTCTAGTCCGTTCCAAGTCTCAATAATTCCTATCAACGGCGCAATATCGCCCTCAGTCATAACCATCGGTCAAGCCTTGGTAACGCAGCGTCAGTACACGTGCCGCAAGGAAAAGCTCAGGCTAACAGCGGCAGGCCCGCAGCTCGCAGCTTGCCGGTGGCCCTACCTAGGCAAACCGCTGCGGACCGGGGCATGTTCCAGGCTTTCTTTGTCGCGCACGATGATGCGACGCGGTGCGCCATGTCGTCAGTTGCCAGCCCAGGCACAGAACCCAACCCCACATGGCCATGAACCTCGGCATACGGCAGGCGGCTTTCGGTGTCGGTGGTCCGCACTCCCCGCATTTCTGTTGCGCTGAGATGTGCCGGGAGCCAACGCGCACGCAATTTGTAACGTGTGGATTGGAGCGCTTGCTTGCTTGGCAGGAGCCGTTTGGTTTACCGAAGGGTGAAATATAAGTGACCTTGTCCTGCCTGTCTGAGTGTTTTGGAGAATGTTTGGCTTTTTTCCTTTGTCTTCGTCCTTAAGTCGATCACCATTGTTAAAGGTGTGTCCTTGTTGTCGCGCCACATCCGATTGAGTCCAAAGTACCGTCCCATCCCAATCCATCAAGATGTCCAAGGGTCCCGGCGTTGGCTTCCAGTATCCCCCCGTCCCGGTCAGCTGGACGAAGCGCGATGCGTTGCTCTTTGCCAACTCGATCGGCTGCACCAGCAAGGAGCTGCACTTCCTATACGAGCTGGACCCCAACTTTGCCGTCTTCCCGACCTACCCGGTCATCCTGAGTATGTCCTGTTCCCTTTGCCTGCAAGTTCCATCCAATGGCTAGCCGGCGCTGACAACCTCAGCTTTCAAGGGCACCTCCAACGAGGTGATCGACTTCTACGCGCAGCAGAAGGCCGTCCCGATCCCCGGCGTCCCGACCTTCGACCCTACCCGCGTCGTCGACGGTCAGCGCCTTCTCCAATCATTTAAGCCCATCCCCACTTCCTCAGAGGGCCGCAACTTCGAGATCCGCACCACCGTCCTTGGCGTGTATGACAAGGGCCGTCCGGGCACCGTCGTCGAGACCCAGTCCGACCTCGTGGACGTCGCTACCGGCGAGGTCTACTCCCGTGTCATCTCCTCGTCGTTTTTCGTCGGCCAGGGCCTGTGGGGCGGCCCGTCAGGACCTAAGCAGGTTACCTATACCGTGCCGAAGGATCGCAAGCCGGACGTCACCTTCGAGCACCAGACCTCCCCCGAAACCTCTCTCCTGTACCGCCTGAACGGCGACTACAACCCGCTGCACGCGCACCCGGAACCGGGCAAGAAGATGGGCTTCGGCGGCATCATCATCCACGGCCTGTGGACCTGGAACTGGGCGGCTCACGGTCTGCTGGAGCACCTCGGCGGCAGCAACCCGGCCAACCTGAAGGAGTATCAGGCTCGATTTGCCAGCCCTGTGCGGCCCGGGGACAAGCTGGTTGCGTCGGCGTGGAGGACAGGCCAGTACCAGGGCGAGTTTGAGGAGATTCGGTTTGAGGTGCGCGTTGCCGGCGGTAAGGTCGTGCTGAGCAATGGTCGCGCCCTTATTAAGACCGCTGCGGGCAAGGAGAATAAGCTTTGAGTGGGGAGAGAGGGTTGTTGTTAGAGTGTAGTATTATAAATTTAATGAATTTATGATGCTGGTTTTTGGTTCTAAATTTTGAAATTTTTTTCGCCAATTTTTTTTGTGATTCTTGACGTTGGATGCGGCTCTGGAGCACAAATTGTTAAGGTGGTGATGGAAACGGATGGAGTGAGCTGCTGCTGCGTTGGCTGCCTAAGTGAGCCGCTGGCTCTTTCCGTCACGAACTGGATCCCCAACCCTCACTTTTTTATAAAAACAAATTATTCCCCCAATTCATCACCGTAACCATGTCTGCGCCCTACATCGGCCAGCGTAGATCGTACGACGGCGCGCTCTGCACTGTGAGATACATTGGCGACGTCGCGGGCACGTCCGGCTCATGGCTCGGCGTCGAGTGGGACGACCCGTCGCGGGGTAAACACGATGGCCAACACAAGGGCGTGCGCTACTTCTCCTGTGCGTCAACCCCTATCTCCCATGACAATTGCTCGATTCTTGAAGTTTGTTCTTACACTGCTGCCCAGGTAAATCCAAATCCCCGACCGCGGCGTCATTTGTGCGCCCGACGCGCCCAGCCGATGCCCCGCAGTCCTTCCTGGCCGCGCTCCACAAAAAGTACGTCTCGGACCCCGACAAGGACAAGGAGCCGCCGCGTCAGGTCTATTTCAACTCCAAGGTTGCCGAGGAGGTTGGCTTTGATAAGGTCCGTCGGAAGCAGGCTAAGCTGGATGAGCTGAAGTATGTCATCCTGGATGGGCTACGCGTTGCGAGGGCGTATGAGGAGGGGGCCGAGGAGAGGCCGATTGGGGAGGTGTGTCCTGAGATTAGGGAGCTGGATTTGAGTAGGAATTTGTTTGAGCGGTTTGGGCCGGTTGTTGAGATTTGTCGGGAGCTGAAGCACTTGAAGAGCTTGAGGATCAAGTAAGTTTCTGCTGCCAGGAGTGAGCTTAGGATGATGCTGACGGTCACAGTGGGAATCGCTTCCAGAATGTCCAGGAGGATGAGAAGCTCCATGAGTCAGATGGAGCCTTTAACGGCGTCACAGAGCTGGCTCTGGAGGACACTCTCCTCGACTGGCAGGAGATTTGCCACATCGCGGCCAAGTACCCGGCCCTCACGACACTCCATGCCGGGTTGAACCAGTTCTCAACCCTCACCTCGATCCCAGAAGTCCCTTTCACATCAACCCTTGTCTCTATCCATCTTGAGTTCAACGAGTTCTCTTCCCTCTTCGACCTTGCGCCGCTGACCTCCATCGCAAGCCTGCGCAACCTCCTCCTCAAAGGCAACAAAATCGACACCATCGCCCCTCCTTTCTCCTCACCCCCTGTCTTTAGCCAAACCTTGCAACACCTCGACATCTCCTACAACCGCGTCTCCTCTTGGTCCTTCGTCGACGCACTCAACACAGTCTTCCCGGGCCTGACCTCCCTCCGCTTCACGCACAACCCTATCTACGACGATCCCGACCTCGACACACAGGAATCATACCCCTCAACAGCATCCAGCACCACAGCCAAAGGAAAGGGCATCGCCAAATCCGACGAAGCATTTATGCTAACCATCGCGCGCCTTGCATCCCTCAAAACGTTGAACTTCAGTCCCATCACTGCGAACGACCGTTCCGATGCGGAAATGTTCTACCTGTCCCGTATCGCGAGGCAGTTATCGTCTGTTCCGGAGGCGGCTGAGAAGGAGGTGCTTGCGCGACATCGTCGTTGGGCTGAGTTGTGTGAGGTCTATGGTGAACCTGCTGTTGTCAGGCAAACGGAGCTGAACCCGAATTTTTTGGAGGCTAGGCTTATCAAGGCTGAGCTCATTCCTGCGTGGGAGGGGTCACCGGAGAAGAAGTGTGTGCAGATACCGAAGGCGTTTGATATCTATGCTGTGAAGGGGATTGTGGGGAGGTTGTTTGGGTTACCCCCGTTGGGGCTGAAGTTGGTGTGGGAGACGGGAGAGTGGGATCCTGCTGCGGGGTTTGAAGAGGATGAGGCTGGGGAAGGGGAGGAAGATTTGGAGGCTGAGTGGGAGAGGAAAGTGGATGAAGGAGTTGTCGTGGGGGAAGGATTGGAGGGTAAGAAGGGGAGATGGGTGAAGAGAGAGGTTGAGTTAAAGGACGGGCCGAGGCAGTTTGGATATTGTGTGGATGGGTTGGAGGTGAGGATACGGGTTGAGAAGCGGTAGGTTTGAGGAAGAGAAGGGTTTGGAGTCGACAGTGAACTGTCTTGCAATACAATAATGGTGTAACTCTGCTTGGCCTCTGCTCTTCAATCAGCGACGCTTGGGAGGTCCAACTGATGAGGTTCAAGGACAGGAAAAAGAAAATAAAGGTTGTAAGAGAAGAAAGAAACAAACCAAAGGTGATGAAAAGGACAAAAGAAATAAAAGATAGAGCAGGAAAGAGCCCTAAAGGACAAGCTGTGGGCAAGGTACAGTAAGTTGAGACTTTGTATCAAGACTTGGTATTTAGATGTACTTCACTGATGAACGGTATAAGGTTTAGGCCGAACGTTGTCCTGGGCTTGTCGTGGTTGAGCCTGTCATGAAGTGTTGTGGAGTGTCCTGGTATGGGTTCATTATCAATTGGACTGTGCAAGATCATGGACATCACAAAGCATAACACATCCCACACATGATGAGGCATCATGTCAACATAAGCTGAGGGAACCACATGCCAGTATGCTCGATTCAGACGACTTTACATGACCCAAGACCCTAATAACCGCTACTAAGAGTACGTTAGCATTCTCCATCATCTATACCAAACCCATCATCAACCCTTAGAAACAATCCGATCAGACAAACCACAGCATGCCCGCATGCTGTCTAACCACAGGAAGAGACAAGCTCAGCCCAGCCCAGACCAGACCAGAGACAAAAGACAAACTCAAAGACAAAATCATGAAAAAAATGAGTAAAATCCTTCATCCGAATCCTCCTCCTCCCAAGACAACCTTCCCCCCTCACCGGCGCAGGCCTAGAGGCAACACCTCGGGCGCGAACAATGACTCCGTGGACTTCTCGTTTTCCTCTTCCTCGCCCTCCCCCGTCTCCAGGGCCGTAGCCCACAGAAAGACGGCCGGCACGAATAGTGAAACACCCGCTTGCTCCTCCCCCTCCTCCTCCTTCTCCGGTGTGGTAACACCACGGCTGTCACTGTCACCGCCGCAGTTCCCTGTGTGCGGCGGCCAGTGCCAGGCACAGCAAGCAGGCATGTTTCCTGAGACACCCACAAACACCTGGCGGTCCTCCTCCTCCTCCTTCTCCTCCTCCTCCTCCTCCTCCTCCTCCTCCTCCTCCTCCTCCTCCTCCTCCTCTTGCTGCTTCTGCTTCTGCTTCTGCTTCCGCTGCGCCCCCCATGCTGCAGCAAACGCAGCCAATGGACCAGGTGCGCGCGCACCAGCCGTCCTTGGTGCCGGCGTCGGGGTCACGGCCCGCCGTGAGCGCGCCCGACGTGCCGCAAGCCAGTCTACCCAGTAGGGCAGCTGCTGCGGACGACGGGGCGGCCACATGACGCGGGACCGAGGCGAGGCCGACGATTCAGACGACGAGAAGAACTTGTCGGCGGCGGCGTTGGTGGCGGTGGTGTCCTGGCGGACGAAGAATGGCGAGCCAGACTCGGCGGCGGTGGCAGACGAAAAAAGTTGTGCCTCGCGGGCCCCGGGGGGAGAAGAAGTGCTGCTGCTGCTGCTGTTGCCGGTAGTCGGGGCAGCTGACGACGAGGAAGATGTGGCGGTGGCGGCGGCGGCGGCGGCAACAGAGGGGACGCCCTCGGTGGTGGTTATCGGGGCGGGGGCGGCAGCGTGCCCAGCAGAGGCTGGGACAGGAGACGAAGGCGAGACAGCAGGGTCGGACGAGAGCTTTCTGTCTGACCTGGGAGCGTCAGCCTTCTAGGTCGACGCGTCCGCAGCCAGCCGCGGCGTCTTGCCGCCCGCCGGAGACCAAGACTGTTGCTGGGGCTGCTGCTGCTGGAGCTCAGAGCGGGGGGCCGAGCGGACCAGGAACCACTCCGTCGGCGAGGACTGGCTGAGTGCCAGCCGCGGCGCCTTGCGCAAGGCAAGGTCGGCCGGACCGGGCGAGAACGACCGCCGTTTGGGAGGCATCATTGCTGCTGCGCTGCTGGTGTTCGCCGCTGGAAAAATGGCGCGAGGAAAATGAAAATGGAAAAAGTGAAAGTGGGAAGAAAAAGGGTTTTTGATATTTTCCCCTGGGGGGTCGCGCTCAGGGGGCGCGTGTGCTGGTCACGTTTTTCGCGTTATTCGGTCACTGCTTCGCGTTGCGCGCCTACCTGTTTGTGGGGGCAACTGGGAGGAAAGTTTGTTTTTTTCTATTAGTCCTATTCAATGCTGGGCTAACTATCGTGGTCTCGTATGAATGGACATCTTCTTGCCTCCGCTACGATTGAGAAGGGTTTGAGCCCTCGCGGTGCATGAGCCAGCGAGAGGGGAGGGGAACTCGCGATTTTTTTTTCCCCAATTTGGGGCATTTACAGTGATGGGATGGATAGGAAGCCAAAATTTTGATTTTTTTTCATTCCTATATGCATGAGAAGTGACTGGTAAGGTTTGTCCTCCACTTTGTCCAATGTTGACGTCCTCTGAGCCATTCGAGGCCGAGCTGTTGTGACGTCGACTTCGGCTCCTAGAGCCTTGAGGATGCCCTTTGTGATGACAATAAGTTGGGGAACGAAACTGGTAACGCTAGAATTGGACTATTACAGCATCGAACCATTATTGCTTGGAATTGACAGAATCAGTCGGGACATCTCACAGATACACCTCGTTAGCGAACTTGGAGTCGATGCCGTGGGTGCCAAAAGTAGTATATCTACAGGCCACATCATACTGGTCGACATCGGAGCATTGAGGCTGAGCGCGACTTCGGATCATCTTTGATGACTCGGTGGTAAAGGGCATGGATCATCTCCTGACTGATCGTAGTCATGAGTAAATTATGCTCCCACATCAAGTAGAATGGGTAACTGGATGACAGTGTGTTACTGACAGATTGTAGGGATATAAGTGGTCCTATGTAGTTGGGAGAGCATGTTCGAAAGCAGCTAGATACTTACCACCTTTGGAGCGGCAGTCCACTCCAGGAGTTGGGATTAATCTCGTCTTGGGCAGCAGAAGAGAGTGAGCGATTGATAAATTGCCCAATGCTGAGCCTCAAATTGTTGCGCCATTCGCTGACGATTGTGTTCTGTCTACTTCCAAACTTGTGTCCTCTCTATCAAACAATCCAATACACAGTTGGGTCTTGCCTGACACTACCCATTCCTGAACATTTTCCCCTTCAGCTCAAAGAGTCTTGGCCTAGTCATTGAAGTCGAAGAGGAATTTCTTCTATTTGCGACTAGGACCTGATGAGACGGTACCGCAAGCTTGCGTTTTCTTCCTAGTTACCCTAGAAAGAACCCACTGACTGACAGAAGTTGTTAAATGATCTCTAGGAGGCATCGACTCATTGTCAGCATTCAAAGTAGAACAGGGGAGGGAACCATCACGCACTCTGTCGTCTCCTTCCCCTTTGCAGCCACACGTGATGTTATTTGCGTGCGTGGTGTCGCCACTCATGGCGAGATCATTGACCTCGAGGTTCTCCAAGGCAAAAGGAGGACAATAGACTAAGAAATACGACAGTGATGATGAATGTTCAACCTAACGCTCCGTCTTTTTCTTCTCCATGGCGAATGCCTGTAAGCCCCTTAGACTCGAGCTGTGGCATGTCAAGGATTAATGGCAAACTTGATAGCGCCGCGTTCAGCGATACTGATCGATCAATGGAAAACAGGATGAAGCGACAACACTTGGGGGCCTTCGCTCTTATCGACAAATAACCATAACTATGTATTGATGCCATCAGCGGAGCCGAGAGACTATCGGATAACAACTGCGCAATCAAGGGACCATCTCAGAATGCGTTTAGTTCTGTCTTCCAACAATCCACGCCAACTCGTCCAGAAAGCAATCCTGCAACTCGAGAGTCATCGAAGGACACGCCCACAACCACAAAAACCCTGTCAGGTATTTCTCCCACAATACGCGACTCCTTCAGGACAAGCTTACGAGTGAGGACACTGCAAGCGCTGACTTTTTGGGCAGTAGGCCTTTTGAACACCACTTGTAGAGACCCGATCTGACAACTCAAGTAATAAGTCCTCGGAAAGCGATACTGAAAGCGGTGCCAAAGAGCTTTCAGTAAACAGTGGCCAAGCCAAATGACCTGTTGGATACGAAAGAGACAAGAGCTCTTGCTGGAAAGATAGAGTGAAGGACCATGACAGGGGAGGAAAAGAAGAATAAAGATAAAACAGAAAAGGAAAACGGAAGGGCAGACAAACCGGTGGGATATCCAATGGAAGTGTGATCATCGCGATCTGCTGAGGGCATACAATCCTGTTGGGAGACGAGGTGTCGATCAACCAGAGCCGTAGATGATTATCTTCCGCGAAAAGACATCACTTGCTACCCATCAGGATACAGCCTTTACAGCACGCACACACAAGCACGGACAAACACGGACAAAGACACCGAAACCACCAAATTCAAGCTGACCGGGTATATTTAGCAACTTCAACACTAACACTCTCCTCCCTAACCACCCTCGCCCCCTTCTTCCCATTAACAACCCTCTCCCTCAACTCGGCCACCTCCCTCCTAACCTTCATTTGATGCGCCCTAACCATCGCTTCCCTCTCCAAGCTCTTCCCCTTTTCCTTCTCCTTTTTCTTCCCAACCCCTTCCACCATCCCCTTTTTTGGCGACTTGTCGTCCCCCACAGTTCCAATCGCCCCGCTCATAACCAACGGCGGAGGGGGTTGCCTCTGCCGTCTACGCCACCGCGCAAACGATTGCTGTGCGTGCTTGGGCAAGGGCTTGGTCGTCGGGTACACCAAATCGTCGAAGCCCAGTGGGTCGGTAAGCATCTCCTGCACGCGGGTTTCGAAGTACTCTTTGCCCTTACGCGCGGGCACAGGGGGCTTAGTCGGGCTGGCGGCGGGGGCGGAGGAAGCCCTGCTGGTGCTGACCTCGGCGGCGGCCGCGGGCTTCGGCGGCTTGCCCTCGGTATTGGCTTTGGCAGTCGGCCTGGGCTGGCCGTCGGCAGTCTTGACTTTCGGCTTTTTGGCTTTGGGTTGCCCGCCGGCTGAGGACTCCAAGTCGGCATCTGACTTGCGCTTAAGATTTTTGCCCTTGAATTCGGGTGTCTCTTCGGGCTTCTTCTTGGGGATCTCCTCGGCCGACGACAACGAAGACAAGGCGCTTGACATGGAGAGCTCGACCTGCTTTTTGGCGGGGACTGCATCCTTCGTGACCTTCTTGGCCTCCGTAATGGCGCAATCCTCCTCTTCAACAGCGCCAGACATCAAAGGCCCTACCGGCTTGAGCTTCTTTTTGCTGCCGGAGGTAATCTCTTCGAAGGCAGGAGGGGGGGAGACGGTTGAGGAGGAGTCGCGACGAATGCCGCCTGCCTCGGCCAGGACGAGACAGGAGTCCTCGTCAGACGAGACCTCGTCGGACTGTAGCTGGCGCAGGGTATCGATGAAGTCCATGGTGTAAGTCGGTCGGCGGGTGTTCCTCCAAAGCTGGCGACGAAAGAGGTATAATCTCAGGGCGCGCTCGGCGTTCCGGTGGCGACGATAAAGAGATTGCCGCTGGCTGGATGCGACAGAGCGAGAGTGGGTAAGGTAACTTTGTAAGATGAGAGCCTTTGCGCGCTGATCGAAGATGGCTTTGGGGGGCAGGCTCGACATGAGAGGGGGAGAAAGACGGGGTGATGAGCCTCGAGAGGAGTTAGGTGATGGAGACTTGGAAGAAATGCTGCCCCTGGAGTCGCTGTCGAAACTGTCAAGGCCTGATGAAAGCCGGCGATGTTTGAGAAAGAGGCGCAGCGCTGCGTCGGGTGAAAGAGGGCGACGAGCTCTGAGATCAGGATTGTGAGAGATTGAGGTCGACGACCTTTGAGGGCCAGCAGTGCTGGCCAAATTAGCTTGTTGAGCCATTCTTGCTATTGTCTACAGTCTGCGGTCTGCGTTGCGGACGCGACCGACCCGCGACCAACACAATAGCAATGACAATAGGAGGATGAAGAAGGATCAATGAGTGGGAGGAGGAAGACACGCAGCAAAGCCAAATCAATTACCACACCAACACAATTTCATGCATCCCACAACCAATTAAGGAGGATAAAATGAGACAGGCACACTCAGGTTCATATATTGAGTCGAAACTGTCCTAGATTCATGTAAATGCCCCGGCCAGCGAGGTCACCTACGTCCAGTACAGTGAGGGGTGCCTTCAGTGTTGGGTCGCGGTCAAATCATCTTGAATTTTTTCTCTGGCGGTTTTGTTTCTCCCGTATCAGGTGGCTCGTGCGCTGGACCCCTGTCATTGATTTTTTTTTGGAGAACAACGTAAGTCAGATCTGCACACGTTGTATCGGCACTGTGTTGTTTGAGAAAGGTGATCCGAACTGTCGGTGCCACTCCGTCCATGATTGAAGAGCAGCCTAAGTGTTGTCTATGAGATGGCTACTCGCAAAAGCTCAACCTGTATCTGGTAGGATTAGGATGTATATTACATTTTGGACACAGTGATCTGACCGTAAACAAAGTACACGCTATGGACTCAGGCACTCAAAGCACCGGAAGAAGTTTGGAAGAAATCCCAGAAGTCATTCGACGAGGGTATACTGTCTACTGAGGGCACACTCACGGAAAAGGTTTTGGGATGTAGAGTTGGAAATGTTTGCTTTTGCTATTGGCAGTGCAAGAAGTAGGCAGTTGCCACGCTGTGACACCGTTCATCGGTCACATCAGAGCAATCCAGCAAATGCCAGGGGAACGATTGTCATACATTCAATCAGCGCTCGATAAACCCAACGATAGAGAATGGAATGAATAGGATCTTAGGAGAGGAGGAACACTTGGTAAGTCACAAGAGAGAGCACCAAGTCATCAAAGAAACCATCTTGAATTGAGGATTCTATCAACGATAAAGCAAAATCACCTATACTTTCTCTCGGTTAGCCTCATCATCATGACGGAAACTGATCTGAAAGCCAAAAAAAAAACTGTTGTGTGGCCGTCAGCAGGAGCGTTATGCTGTCCACAACGTTGCTCTGATGAGGAGCTTCAGAATTGCAGAATTCAAAAAGGACACATCATAGGCCAAGCTTTGAGGAAAGAGGAGGATTTAACTTACACTACCTGTTGAAAATTGGGAAGCAAAACGGGTGGCTGTTGCCGGGCATGACAAGAGTAACTAGTCAGGTCGGCGACCTGAAAGTTTAATATCAAGCTCTTGTTTGACGTCAAGTTCAAGGAAAAAAATCTTTACAGCCGCGCGACACTGTGCGAAAATAAGGTTTGGTGGGGCAGTTCCTGATTACGTAAGACAAGAGATCTTTGGTTGTTGCCAAAAGCCGGCGGACTGCCCGACAACCTCCTTCTGGCTTCGTGTTATCTGTAGGTATATCAAGGACTCGTCTACAGTCCCTGATACATACGACCATACCTAGTGGAAAACTCGGGATCCCGTCCGCTCTCCCATAGATAAGCCACTAAGGGCGGGGTTAGTACTCAGGTCGGTGACGACTGGGGAATCCCCCGTGTTGTATGTCTTTTTACCTTTTGTCCATTTTCATCACTTGTTTGATTCATTTTTGACAATATGATGGAAGGGAAGAATACACAAAAAGAAAAACTGAAGATATACTATTTATATCAAGGCAAAAAGAGAAGAAAAGAAGCTATCACCCAAAGTTACACAGCTGTCTACGATACAAGTATTCTGGCCTGATCTGTACGGTGCCACGCAACAACACCTTGCAACCGGCTTGAACCCGGTTCAACCATAGCTGCATCTTCATATGGACGCTAACTTGACCTCGAAATCCAGAAGCAATTGCAGCTGGATGGATAAGGAACCTTTGGCAGCAGCGACTTGCAAGCCAGGACCCATGTCTGATTATGTAAGCTTTCGGGAGAAGGCGTCGAGCCCAAAGCCGCGTGAAGGAGGTCATCAATTGAGCCATGTGCTGCATGTATCTCCAACATTTGAATTTCATCTCAACTGAGCCTCTCACCGTCCTGTGATCCTAAATGACATGAATTGTGTCGCGTATGCATTCTGTAGAATATCTCACCTAGACTCATTAAACTGTCTGTTTCTGTTGCTGCTTCCGAACAATCCGGTCCCAACCAACTTCAATCTCACAATCAATATCATCGTTGACCTACCTTTCAGCTGATGAAGCTGCCCTATCCATCATGGGTGTCGTCAACTCCTGCCCCATACCATCCTCCTCCATTCCACCAGTCCCTCCGACGCTGACAATTCGCAACTTGACTGTCACACCGCTCCACCTAATCGAAGTCGAACACCTCACTCGCCATCACCATCTCATCCCTAAATCCGACGCCCTAACCCGCATCCCGTCGCGTATAAGCCGGCACTCAACCGACAGCCGCCGTCGAGTATCCCACGATGCCCAACACATGCACTACCGCGAAGCCGATGGCTCAGTAGCTGCCACACCCTTCCTCCCTGACCACGACCACGACGCGAGGGCGGCTCATCCCCTTGATGTGGCGCTGCCCCCGTTCGGAGAAGCCCTCATCCCTATTCCTCCGCCAGCTTTGCATGGCAGGCATACACACCTCCGAATGACGTTCCTCGATCCGACGACTGGGAAGAGATATCAAGGCATCATCCCCGGCTCAGCGCATAGGACAATCGTCCTTCAACCTGCCCGCGCCCCAGAAGATGAGCCTCAACCCCAGGGGGAGGATGCTCACGAGTTTACGGCGATATACCTCCCCACACGTGGTTTCCTCGCCCTGTTCTCTAGCGCAAACCTCCCGTCCTGGATGGGCACCCTCCCCGACCATCTCCCGCTCTCAGCCCTATCCATCCCGGGGACACACAACTCCCCCACCTACCACGTCGCCCTGCCGAGTGTGCGCTGCCAGGCTGTTAGCATCGAATCTCAGTTGGTCAATGGCGTGCGCTTTCTAGACGTGCGGGTCTCCTGTCCTATCTTTTCCCCTCCCCCCGAAGGATCTTCCGCTTCAGCGCAAGCGGCAGTGCCAGTACCCGAGTTAGCCCTAGTCCACGCCTTTTTCCCCGTGTCTTTAATCCCCAACCCCCAAAAACACACTTTGCGTCACCTTCTGTCTATCACGTACCACTTCCTTGATCAGCACCCGACCGAAACCATCCTCCTCTCTCTGAAAAGAGAAGGAACCGGCCTCGGCACGGACGCCGACCTCGCCCAGATCCTCGTAACCTACTACATCCCGCCTAACCGATCCAAATGGTACATCTCCCCGCACATTCCCACGCTAGGCGAAGCAAGGGGGAAGATTGTTCTCGTGAGGAGGTTTAACTTACCACCCCCCTCATCGCCCTGCCCCGCCTTGCTCGAAGAAGGGGGTGAACGCGGCTTAGGCATTGACGCCTCCGTCTGGCCGGATAACGTGCCCGACGGGATGTGCGGGAGCGGGTTGGTGAGAATCCAGGATTGGTATGGGGTTTGGAACACATCAGATATACGGAAGAAGATACAGTATGCGCAGGAGGGGTTGGAGAGGGCCGCAGAGAGGGTGTTTGACATGGAGCCCTTTTTGCCGCCAAATCTTCCATTGTTTGATGGACAAGCCGAAAGCAGATTGGCAAATGGGGATCCTGCTGTGCAACAGCGGCAACGGCCGGCTGCGCCGCCGTTTTACATCAACTTTTTGAGTGCTAGTACGCTCTTCAACATCAATTGCTGGCCGGACAGGATCGCTGTCAAGATCAATCCGTCTATGATTGAGTATCTGTGTATGGCTCACGGAGCACCAGGCAAAGGGCCTGGGGGATTATCTGTCGGCGATGCGGCGACGGGCATTGTTGTTACGGACTGGGTGGGGTATCGCGGCGATTGGGACTTGATACGGTGCATTGTGGGATGGAACGCCAGGTTTGGATTACAGAAATAAAGTGGAGTAGGATGTTTTAAACTGGTATATATTACATCGGCATAGACTAGACTACCCATCCGAGACACAAACCAGTAAATACTAATTCTAATCACCACTTGTCAAAGACCTGGGGGGCTGTACTCAAGTTAGCATAGTTCTAAATGCATAGCCGGCGTGTACAACCGCAGTTGTAACACCTTCCATCAGTTCCCCAAGGTGTGTTTTCTTCAACGATGATCTCAGAGAGATAGGGTTTGCAGGTCTAAGAGGTCATCCTTGAAGGAAGAACGATCAGATGGACGCGAGTGACTTACCCTTTGGCGGGAGTTGATGAACCAAAATTACGATTACGGATTACCTGGCCGTGACTGGTCAGCAACCGTCCATGAAAAATGCTCAACAAGCCGTCGGTAAAGTAACTAAGTTCAGGCTGCTGCGAGTTAGCCTTGGTCTCTGTACGAGTGGTGGAAGAGCAGACATACCTCATTAAATCAGATTTTTTGTTATGTTCATTTCCAACCCAAAAATGGGAGGATCAAACAGTGTGAATAACACGTCATCATTTAGGTGAGGCAAGAACGCGACGACGAAAGAAGTTTCATTACCTGCTTGCTGTTAGTCTAAACTCCGTTCCCTGCTAAGAGTGAACAGCAAGCGCTGAACGAGGAGCACAATCAGGTGACGAAGTCTCAGCAAGAATAACTCCCCAAACTCCCTCGCAGGGTGTACAGCCCTGCTTTTGATGAGAAAGTCGGGGAGGATTCGATTATGTCCGCCCGTTCGTTCAAGTTTTCATCACAGTGCTGGAGATCGAGAAAAAGCTTGAGCATACCTGCGCAGTCGTTAGCAAATCTGCTTGTAAACAGCGGTGAGAAACCACGAGACAAGTCCTCTTAAGTCAGACAAGGCTGAAACTAGATTTACGGATCCACATTATGCATTCGGCATGAGGAATTCCCTGTATTTTGTCGTTTCTTCATCACCCAAGGATGAGAGAAGGAAAAGGAAAGTGTACCAACCTTTTGGAAATCAATTGATGATGGCGGCTCACATTGAGCAAGAAAACATGAGGGACATCTGCCGGTCGACACTGAATCGCGTTAGCAGTAGTCGACAAACGCATGTGCAAAACAGCAGCTTCAAGATGTGCTCTCAGGGTAATTCTAGAGTTGCTAATCCCCACGGGCTGGTCGGAGTTGGATTGTTTCTTCTCATCTCGGAGCAATAGTTGGATGATAAATTTGGGAGGTGCTTACCTTGTCGACTGACGGGTTTGCTGAGGTTTGCGAATGGAGAAGAGAAGCTGTGGGAGCTCGGGAAAAATTTTGGGCAATAAAAAGCTGGAGGAGTGGGGTTCGCCATGAGATAAATCCGAGCTGTCGCACAGACCACAAAACCTACGTTTAAGTGCATACCCGACCCAAGCATAATGCGACCGTTTCAGCTAACGGTCCCCCACATTACGCATCTCCATAGTGGCAAATCTTATCGATAGCGATATCACACCTAGATAAGATCACGGACAGCCGCTGGTTGCCTCTCCTCGATTCCTAATCTTCACCACCATCACCGCCTTCTGGTCTCTCGGGCTGCCACGTCCGCGGATCGACACGCCTCATCATGTCTCCCAACGGAGGCATCTGGGCAGCCGCGGCCCTGCAGGCTCTGCGCCAGAACTTGGCCAGAAGCACGCAGATGGCCGCGAAGCTGATTCGCTCCAAACTCGCCGCTGCTCGACATTCTGCTGCTACGAACGCTCCCGCTCACCTTCAACCCGTCCCCGTTCCCGTCCGCGTCGGTTCTGCCCGCCAGCCTGTCCATCCTGCTGCCTGGTTGCGCCAGCAGAAGCGTTGGCTCTCCTCGTCTGCCGCCAAGCAACTCAATGCCGCTGTCCGCCGCTTCCTCTCGACCACCTCCGCCTGCGGCCAGGCCCAGGCCTCCTCTGGCCCGGCCTCCCGCTTCCGCGTCGACCGTGCCGCTGTTCAAGCCTCCTCTGCCACCGCTCGTGCCGTCGCCCAGCTGACCGGGCGTGCTCCCTTCGCCTCGACCCTGCGTCCGAACCTCACTGGTGGCGCCATCCCCCGCACCGCGGGCGGCTACACTCTTGGAGGTGGCGGCAGCGTCCGTTATTTCAGCCACACGCCCGCCGCGCCGGCCCAAGTTGTGCAGAACGTCAGCCAGGCCATGCGTGCGTTCTGGTGCTCCGGCCAGCGTGCTCGGTTCGACGGCTACGGCCCTAACGGCGAGAAGCGCTACACGGCTGTCAGTGCTGCCCATGACGACGCTCGTCGCAAGATGGAGCAGTGCTTTGCCTGGCGCGGTAACCAGCCTGGTGCTTTTATTGATTTCCAGATTGCTCCGACCATCACTGCGTTGAGCCCTCTTGGTGCTGTTGCTGCTGCTCCGGCGAAGGCCAAGAAGGTTAAGAAGATTCGTGCTTCCTCTGCCCCTGGTTCTGGTTCTCTCGTCTTTGGCACTGCTACCCTGCATACTGAGGGTTTCCTGGATGTTCTGTCTGTTGATTTCGCTCGTGCGTTGCAGGACCTGGCGGCTGTTATGACGGACCTGAAGGCCCTATCCACGTTAGGTGATCTTCCGGTTTCGTTGGAGAAAAATGGCCGAGTCCTGCGCGTCCGATTCCCCGGCGTCGATGCTGAAACGGTCGAGCGGTTATGCGACGACGTTGGTGTTCGACGCGGGGTCGTGGGCCAGGACCCGGATTTTGACGACAGCCCTGGAGTCCAGATGGCGCTAAGGTTCCCGTTCGCACCGGAAGAGCCCTGCGAGAGCAAACTCACGTCTCCTGGAGGATCTGTACGGTCACGGGATTCTCATTCCCTGCTTGAAGATGCTTTCGTGGTCGATGAGTTCGAGGACAACCCCTGGCGATTAACCGAAGTAGAGGAAGAAGATGATGAAGAGGGGTATGAGAGCTTATCGCCACGGCCGTTGAGCAACTCGGGGCTGCATTGCTCTGAGGAGTTCGAGGGCCTGGAAGGTATATACCGATTCTTAGAGGAGTGCGATCGTGCTAGGGGGGGTTTCAGAGCTTACTGATAATTTGGCGACGACACACTCCCGCTTTGGGAGGGTATGATACATGAGTATGGGCTCAGAGTCTCTCTCCGCTCTCTGTGATATACTTGGGACTCCGAGCATATACACTCCTTTGATATTTCCTTTTTCTCATCTTCTGTAACTCACTCTAGCCATGACGAGTTTTTTTTTTCTTTGCCTCTCGGTCTGGATATCTCACTTTAGTCATGAGTATACGACACATGATGTTTCCTATGTGATAGAGAATATCAGCATGATTCTCTAACGAAAGTGACCTGCATTTGATACACTGAGTGATCTCAACCATACAGTAGGTACTACATTGATTATCTCGATTCTCCCTCAGGGACTTAAAGGCTGTCTGGGTAAGCTCCTAGGAAGAGCTTGGGAACGTCCAAGTAAGTGCCATCTTCGCTTCTTATCTTCTATTTTCCCTACCTCTTTGCCCTTCCTCCCTCTATCCTTTCATTCTTCCATTCTTACGGATCCGTACCTCTTTGCGTTCTTCCAGCCTCCCCATTCTTTCGTCTGATAGTTGAGCTAGCTCTTGACTTTGTTTGACCCCAACTGTCCCGGAGGAGGTTTGCCAAATGATACGATGAGACTCTCTCAATCCAAAGGCCGCGTTTATGAGACAACGTCTTGAGCTTTGTTTGCTATGACTCAAACTGTTGACATGAGCAAGTGGATATCCGTTTGTCAACGTAAACTAAGCCATGGTGCCAACATCACCTATTTGCAAACCATGGGCCTGCCTTAACCATAGGCATAGTAGTCCTACTGTCCCCTCCCGCTGCTCATTATCAGAAGTCCCGCATCCGCTCTTTTACCAAGGAATCACAATGTCCCCGCAGCCTCTTCTTTGTGTTCCCCGCCCAAAGCAGGCAACAGCAAAAGCCCGATGGCCAGCTCCAGACCGTCTCCGAACCCTTTTTTCCTCTTATTACCATCGATGAGCTGCCGCCGTGGCTGGAAATTGTCGGTGTGCCGCGCGAGTTGACTGAGGAGCAGACGAAAGGACTCTGTCAATATCGGCAGACTTCCGAGGACTGGCGAAGGGGTATTACGCTGTGAGGATTCTGGAGGAGGTGCAACATGGACAGGGCCCTGTCTGGCCTGTTTCATCACCCTCACGATCCGGAGAGGGAAGTCGAAAGGGTAATGAGCATGTCTGTCAATCGCCGGATAATGGAAACCCAAGGGCTTTCTCTTCCAGCCCGACAGAGACTCGCCTTCACGAGGCTCCGTCTAGACAGCAGGAGGAAAAGGCTACCACAGCAAAAGGGACAAGGACAAGGACAGGTCCATCCCGCCGAGCTGATGAAGTCCTGCCGGGCTGCAGGAAACATCAAAGAGAACCGATCTGGATCTCCCAGCTCTTCATCAGAGAGCACATTCATAGTCGGAAGCAGCGATTCTCCCACGAAGATCAAGAAAAATGCAAACTCGACCTCATCTCCTGAGAACTTCAAAGCATACTGCCGACACTGGTGCCAGCATGGTTGGTGTAGATTTGGGGCGAGGTGCCGAAACATACGTGAGTATCCTCCTTAGGGTCTCTTCTCGTGCACTTTCCTCTCACTAACCCCTATTCACAACAGAGGACATACCTCAAACGAAAGAAGGCCTCGCCGAAGTTGGCTTATGCGAACCCCCAGCTTGGTATATCCTCCTGCGACAACTATGTCAACAGTTCCAGGAGGGTAAAGCCTCACGAAACCTGGATCAACTCCTCGCCCAGCTGCTTTTTGACACTCTCTATGACCAACAACCAACAGCAACAGCTCAAGAAACCCCCAATCCGGCCTCCTGACCGAACTAGGCCTTACATCCCTGCACCGAAATCCCAACCGTCACAACACCAACTCCTCTTCCAGGCAAGTAAGTAAAAGGGTCCTCAAACAAGCCACATCTCTTCTCCGTGAACGGGGAATCACTGGTGTCATTTCCCCGGCGACGCAAAAAGGAACCGGGACCGGAACTGGTGTTGTTGGTTCCGGTTCAATCCAGAATCATCCTCCAACTCGTCATCCAACGAGCCCAAACCACCCAAAGAACTGAGAAGCCAAGCCCTGGGCGCAGGGGAATAAGTGTGTACTGGAGAACGCTAGAGTGTCTGGAGCGGCGCTGGCATCATCGCCACATCCGGGTATAGAACGACCATTAGGGAGGGCCGCTGATCCGGGGACTGAGGATGACTGCCCAGCACCGCAAGTGGTTAAGAGCACTATTAAGGGTTGGAGAGTGGTCGTTAGTGGGAGAGATAAGATGGAGAGATTTCTCCCTGTGAGTCTCAGGAGCATACGTGTGGTAAGGTGCCAGCCTGGTGGGGGAGGAGAGTCCAGCAGGGTCAATAGAATAGGCAGGGAGGTGTGAATGGGGTCCAGATGGAGATGGGGGGATGGGGGGGTTCGAGGGGTTCATGATCTCAAAGAGCGGGCTCCTTAGTGTCAACAAGAAGGGGGACTAGGGGCTGGTGGTCAGGGTCAACATAGCAACAACAGGTTGGGAAGCTTGTTGATGTTTCAGTGCAAGAAAGCGAATTGGTTTAATGAAGAAATGTTCGGATACAATGTGCTCTCTTTCCAGTTCTTAGACTTAGCATACGTGGTAAACGTTTTTTACGTCGCCGATTCTTTCAGCTTTGGAAAGGGAGGATAGGACAAAAAAGCGCCAAAAAGTGGAACATACAACACGGGGGGATTCCCCAGTCGTCACCGACCTGAGTACTAACCCCGCCCTTAGTGGCTTATCTATGGGAGAGCGGACGGGATCCCGAGTTTTCCACTAGGTATGGTCGTATGTGTTATGCTTCTGCCAAACGTTCATTCATATACTTGTTATGCTCCTGGGCGATAGTTCTGGACGTTTTATGGGGATGCATCAAACAAGTCTTCCCTGCGTTGCTCTTTGGAAGATCAACATGATGCCACCGCCATCCTTGTTCAAGTGGCCGCATACTCCATAACAGAGAACAGAGACGCTGACAACAATGTATAGATCCAATCCGTACAATTCATCGCTACCTGGTAGTGAACACGTCGCTCATGTAAATTGCACATCTAGTCATACACCCGATACTTCGACAAATCCATACGCTAATATACCATCATTTCCGCTGATCCCTATCCCCAGCTCAACATCCTCAGAGCTTCATCACACCTTCAGGGCTCACTCCTCCCTCAGGGCCTCCTCTTGGGTTCCTTCGCCGAAGAAATACCCCCAAACTCCTGCGCTGACATGGCATCGGCCCTCCTCTGGTTCTTGTTGTTTTGATTGCTGCCCCGATTCCTCCTCCCCTTCCCCCCACCACCACTATGATTACTCCCTCCATTCTTGCACTGTGATCCCAGCCCATGGTCAATCCCCGGCACGTCCTTCTTGGTGACCGTATTCCTCTTAATCACCGTCTCCAACAACTTCTTCCCAAGCCCATTATCATCTGCCCTCCCCACGCTATCCATTTTGGTCAACATGATCAACGCAGGTTGGCACAAAGCGGGCAGTACACGCATGCCCACCAGCAGCTGGTCGACAGTCCAATTTGCCTCGTCGCCGATTTGCAGGCTGGCGTTCTTTTGGAATGCCATCTCGGCGTCGTAGGACACAACCGCCATCTCGTACCAGCAGGCGGGGTCGCCCTGGCGGTGTTTCTCTCTTGCTTCGCGCTTGCTGCGCGGAGAGGCTGTGAAGGGCTCCCAGCCGGTGAGGGAGTCCATCAGGGAGCGGTTATCAGTGGTGGGATGGATGTTGAGCTGCTCGACTTCGGTGATTTCAAGGAGGGATTTCAGGCCGCCAAGGTACTTGTGCCGCCACTTGGTCATGACCCGGACGTCGGTCACGGTGGCGCAAAGATTCTGGTGGAGAGCGAATCTAATGGAGGGGGTGCCCTTTTCGTCGAAGCCTCTTGGAGATGTCAGCAATCGTCGGGTTAAACCGTGTAGAGGTGAAGACTTACGTGACGCTAAAAGACTTGAGCAGCGCTTGAGCCACCGAGCCGAAGACCTGCTCCGCCTTGTCGGTGATGACATGCGTGAACGCAATCTGCAAGTCCCAGTGACGGCGAATGGCATGAATAGTAACCGGCAGCGGGCCGCCAACCTTGACCGGACGGACGTGGTACGATAGCGGGTTACCCTGACCCGTCTCCTCAATCTCAACAATAAACTCAATCGGCTCTGGAGTCTTCTGCGGGGTCTCCGGCTCAGGCTCCGGCACAGGCTGAACCTCTTTCTCCTCCTCTTCCTCCTTCTTCTTCGGCAGCACAAAACGACACCGGAACGAGTACACTGTCCAGGTTTTCATGGGTGTGGGATTCCACATGCGCTTACCCTCCCACTCCAGATCCAGCATCTCCTTAATATCCGAGCCATACGTCGACAGCACCTTCGTGAAATGGTACGCCACGTGCGCGTGGTATTCGTTACCCAGCCTGCGCAACAAGCGCTCCTTGATCCAGGGATCGCTGGGCGAGTCCTCGTCATTGAACGCGAGGCCTGTCTCGTCGGCTCCGAGGAAGATGGCGCGGCCGAACTCGGCGCGCAGAGTGAGCGTGCCGCGGCGCTTGGGCCCGGACTCGAGCAGTTGCTTTATCGCGGTTGTGAGCTCTGTCTTAAAGTAGTCTGGGATAACACCGAGGTTTTTCGGCAGCGGCGTGTTCATGGTCTGAGCGCATCGGTTGCCGAGTCTGGACTGGGCGGGTTGGTAGCTGAGCGAGGGAGTGCCGAACCTGGCGCGGTTATCGACACCCTGAACAGGAGTGCTCACCCGACCAGGAGTATTCCCTCTGTTAAGGGTGTTGCCCCTGGTAGGAGTAGTGCCACTCGAACCCAGCTGCGCCTGGTAGGCAATATAATTCGGCACAGGAAGATCATCCTCAAGGTAGTTGGGCGTCTTCTGGTTCTGTGATGAGATCCCTTTCTGAGGCCGCTGCTTGAAATTCTTGTTTGCCGGAGGGGGGGCAGGCAACTTGGACTTTGAGACAATTTTGGTCGTGACCACGAACTCATTCTCATCGAAGCTATCCTCGTCAATCTCCTCCTCGTCAGAATCGTTAGACCCGTTCCGGGATAACGTAGGGCTGACCGCCCTAAGTGGAGCCGTCGGAGGAGCAACCGGCGCGGGCGCGAGCACCTCAGCGGGCTGCTGCTGAGCAACCTCTTCAGCTAGTTCAGGGGCGGGCGTCGTAGGCGGCGCGGCAGGCGCGGTTTTGGTCACCTCGCCATTGACCTCATCCCAGGTCGTAATGGGAAGCTTTGGATCAAGAACAAAAGGCTCCCGAGGCGGAGGAACCTCGATCATCTCCAGGTTCTGGCCTTCCCGAAGGGGGACAGTAGGGCGATGCTCGAGGGCGAACTTGACCACAGTCTTGGACGGCACTTGTGGGCCAAGCAATGGGTACCACTGCCTATCAGCCCCGCTGTAGAGACAAAGCCGAATCGAAGCTCCCTGCTTGTACATTTCCTCGTAGAAGGCCTTGAGGTTGGCGACTGTGCGCCAATCGATGAGGGTCGAGGTCGTCAGCTTCTCGTCGATGTTGGTCATGTAGCGCATGTCGGCCTGCCAGCCGCCGGGCGACGGGTCATAGTAATCTTCGACGTAGACCAGGTGTTGGCCGCCTAGGCGCTTCTTGGACATTTTCTAAAGGATATGAGCTGCACGTCACGACCTACACCTTGCTGTTTTACGCACCTTGATCTCAAGCATAGTCATCAACTTCTTCTGAGCCTTCCGAAGAGCATCCTCGTCCTTCCCACCGATCTCAACAATGATGCCGTTGAGTCTCGGCACCAATTTAGTACCGCTATCCCGCGCGATCTGCTCGAGATCGTCCGCAGAGACAATGTCGTGGATAGTGAACGACTCATTAATCTTGTCCAGCTCGTCCCATTTCGTCTTGTGCGGGTACTCCGCGATCTCAGCAGAAAAGTGGTACTCCTCGGGGATCTCTTCCTCGGGGCCATACTCTTCAATTAGCAAAAGGTTCTCGTCGCCGAAGGTGAACATCTCGTTACGGAAGTTATCCTGTTACTTGTCAGCGTGTTTCCCTCATCCTAATTAAAAATTGAGGGCCTTCTAAGTACCCTGACGACGCCCTCATCATCGATGATATCCTCCTCGGCATACTCAAACACTTCGTCCTCAATCTCCTTGACAATCCGGTCAAATGCGCGGCGGATTTCAGAGGAATCCTCATCACGGCAAGTGACGCGGAACCAGCCGTAGTCCCGGTCGTAGACGATCTCGGCGCCCTCCTGCAAGAATGAACAAGTCAACTCCTCTTCAGTCGCAGATCTGAAATGCGTCGGTCGGTACGTACGGGTATTTCCTCGTCCATCTGTGCCTTGACTCTCGTCACGGCAGGCGGCCGAAGACCCCACACTGAGGAGAGGTAGAACTCGGTGGGGCCTGCCATGGTAGCAAGCTGAGTAATGGAGGGGTTGGGAGGTTAGGATACACGGGCCGAAGTTTAGAGATGAGATAGAGTAGATAGTGGGTGGTAGGTGCCTCAACAAGAATGTCAGACCAGTCGGTTGGCGGTAAGCTTGAGGTGGTATGGAGCTCCTCTAAGGATGAGCAATAGGTAGGAAAAGTAAAATATACAGGAATTCTGTGAGGACAGCAATGAATCCATCAGCCTGTGAATGCCACCAAATATGACTATCCCAGAGTTAATAGCCGTACCTCTCAGGTTCTCTACAATCTGCCTTCAGTCTTCTTCTTCGCTCAAAGCACGCCCAGAGAAAATCGGTACAAGAAGAGCAAGTTTACTTGCTCGGCCCAGCAATGAATTGAGGTTTTGGTGGGGTAAAGAGATGCCAGCCAGCCAAGATATATGAGCGCCGGGACCGCGAATACAAAAATGAAACTACAGCCTTGGGAAGCACTGTGTGAGTATTGAGGCTGAGAGTTAAGGCAGTCGGGAAGAAAGTATAATTCAAGAGAGGTAGGAACAATGTTTTCAAGTTGTTGTTGTTATCAGGAAACGGTGCAACTGTTAGTGATGGGTTGGCTCTTTTGGTTGGTTGTTTGCTCTCTGGGCCGACTGCACTAAAATCCCGTTGCCCCTCCATCAGCCAAGCTTTGTTTGCCATCACTGGTCAGTGGCTACAGCGCTAAGCGATGGAGCTTAACGAGCTGCTTGGGATGGGCCTGCTGGGCTCAGGTACCTTCTGGACATGGACATCACAAGTGCTCATGAGTGTTTGACATTCAAGCTTCATTCTGATAAACAATTGCATTGCGAACAACAGACAAAAGAGCCATTGACAACTTGACAATGGCTCCTTTTACATCCTTGCAGCCTTCTAAAAGGTTGTCCCCCTGAGCGCCAAGCCAACCCCTGCCAAGAACAAAAACTGCCCCGCTAGCCGCATCACAGCAACCATCCCGCAACCACCAAGCGTCTTTCTTGTCGAGATGATAGCATCTGGTTCAATAGTCCAGTTTCGTCTTCCGTGCCCATGACTATATGACTGGCTCAGTTTCTGCTATCCTATCACATACGACCATACCTAGTGGAAAACTCGGGATCCCGTCCGCTCTCCCATAGATAAGCCACTAAGGGCGGGGTTAGTACTCAGGTCGGTGACGACTGGGGAATCCCCCGTGTTGTATGTTTTTGTTTTTTTTTTTTTGCCTTTTCCCCTTTCTCTCTACTTTTGATTCATTCTTATTAAATTTGATAAAAAATTGGAATAAATGATTGGGGGAAAAGAAGATAAGAAATCTCGAAAGAAATAACAGGAGACAAGTGGGTGACAACCAACTTGACAGTAACCTCACTCTCATGAGTTCATGACATGTGTCAGCACAAAGATACACACCACTTCAAACCTCAACACAACTTCTAACACTATTTTATCTACCACTCAACCTTTACTACTTCTCCACGACTTGCTGATGATAAAATGGCTGAACTGAATGATGACAATGATGATGATGACTGAAAAAAGAATTCCATCTATCCATCCATCCATTAGAGTCTCGAAGATATACCCATCCCACACCCTAAGTACAAGTAGCAGTATCTCTTGCTGTTAAAACGCCACAACTCCCTTGTCCCAGAAATGCAAGTAGGTAGCAGCAGCAGCAGCAGCAGCAGCAGCAGCAGCAGTAGTAGTAGTAGTAGTAGTAATAGTCAGCTTAGGCAGCAACGAAGAGAAGATTTTAGAGAGACAAAAGAAAACAGAAACTTTGACACGGCTGCTAGATAGCTATAGCAACCATCCTCCAGCCGGTATCGCAGCATGTGCTATACTTAAGCAGGATGCAGAATGCACCACTCGCTGATAGACTTCTCGAAGCGCTATACCATGCTAAGTTCTGCAGGTAAGCTAAGCAACCATCATGCTGTATGTCCCTCCTCTCCTCTCCTCCCAACAAAAGAGAAACCTTTGTGTAGGTAGGTAAGTATGTAGCCGTCTGTCTATCCCATCGGATCTGCTCTGCTCTTCCTTCAAATCCGAGGTTAGTATACCGGCTTCTGCGAAGATCCGGGTATCATCATTACATGTCGTAAAAACAAGGTGAAATCAGCGCCCGAAGTCAAAAAGGCTCGAAACGAAAAAAACCCTTTCTCCCTCCCCCCTTCTCTCACTCTCTCTCTCTCATATGAGTTCAAACCCCCGAAAAACAAGGTTACTGCGCCCAGGGAATCGTCTCCTTCACATTCAGCGCCCACTTCAACTTATTCAGTACCTCCCTCGCCTCATCCAGCATTCTACCCTGTTCCCTCTCCCTCTCATCCGCCTTCCTCTTAATCTCCCTCAACGCCTCCTCCTGCTCAGCCTTATATCTCTCAAACTGCGCAAGAATCTCCTCCTTCTGCCGCTTCAACTCCCTAATATTCCCATCCTGCTGATCGCACAGCTCCCGCAACGTCTCGATCTTCTCATCATCCCGCCTCCTCTCCTCCGCAAGCTTATCCACCTCCACCCGGACTTTTGTCACCGTCCTTTTGACCTCCTCCCCCTGGTCCTTCCAGTGCGAACTAATCGCATTGTACCGTCCCTCACACAATGCTGCCCACGTATTCGCCTCCTCAATCTGCCTCTTCGCCTCCGCCTTCGTCCGCTCCATCTCCTCCTTCCACTGCTGCTCGCGGCTCTGCGCGTCGACGGCGCGCTTCCTTTCCAACTCGATCGCGTCCTGAAGCGACTCGACCTGCCTTTCTTTGCGCGCAAGCAACGTCTTAGTAACATTCGCCTCGAGCAAGCGCTTCTCATACTCAGCGATGACCCTCTCCAGCTTATCCTCCAGCAACCGTGCTGCCTGCCGCGATTCTTCGGCGCGCAACCGTTCGATCTGAATGTCTCGCTTCAGGTTCTCGTTGTCAGTCACCAAGCGGTTAATCACGCGGCCGGTTTTACCCAGCCCAGCCTTGCCGATGGAGCCGTCCCAGCCGCCGTTTTGGAGGTGGGCTTCGGTGGCGGTGTAGGCGTTTTCGACGGGGCTAGTGCCGAGGACTGCGGCGTCGGGAGCGGTAGTCGTCGAAGAAGGCTCGAGCTTTGGGATCGCGATTGGGGCGGTCGGCGGGGGGCTGTTGTTGCTCTTGTCGCGCTGCGCTTGTAGGTCGAGGATGCTTGAGCGGGTTTTGACCGTGTTGGTGAGCGGGGTGGGTGCATCGAGCAGGCCGTCCTTGGAGGGCGAGGTCCGCAGCTTGCTGGTCGAGGTCTTCTTCGAGAGGTCGCCGGAAGGCGCCTTGGCGTTCTGCGAATTGGCGGACGACATGCTGCTGACAGTGCTATTTATCGAGCTGGAAAAGGCAGAGTCTCTCGGTGTAGACTGCGGCTGTGTCCCAAGCTCTGTACTCAAATCCTCCTCTGCCGGCTGCTGTGATTGCTGTTGTTGACTCCTCTCTACTGGTACTGGTCTATCCTCGAAGCTTGAAACAGCTCGGATGGTCGAGTTCATGCGGTTCGGGAAACGGTTCGCCAATGGGCTGCTCGGGGCTGGTTTTTCCTCTGCTGCCGTGGCACCACTTGCCGCGGTTTGTGACAGCAGCGAGGAAGAATAATTTGTCGGCGCTTCGGAGACAGGTGAGAGGGTAGATGACCGGGGCGAGAGCGAGGGGCTCTCACATGAGACCCGCGGTGCCTGGCTCAGCGCGGGCTCGTTATTGGCCGGGGTTGCTTTCGATGACTCGCGGGTTGGTGATGGTGACGGGGATTCTTGAGATGGAGGTAGCAGTTAGCGTCAACCTCTTCCTTATGGCACGGTCTGCCTTCCGCCCAGGCACGGCACCTGTCTAGATCAGGGGGTCAAGGGCTTTGCCGTGTTCTCCTTTGAGTGCTGCACATCTCCGCCAGAACGAGGTAGCACAGAGGGGGGTGCAGGCAAAAACAGCTGTTGGAAAGGGGAGAGAGTAAACATACTTTCTGCTGGCTGGTGATCCTTAAGAGAAAAAGCCAGCCGTGACTCGGAGTGTGGCCGGGGCTTGAGGAACTTGCGCATTTTCAGCGCGTGCTTCAACGGACGGCGAGGGTGTCTGGTCTATTCGGAAGGAAAGGGGAAGAGAAGACGCTTTGTTGCTAGGAATCCTGGCGATGGCACGCAGAGACGGATCACGGAGATGGCGGCGGCCCGGGAAAGCAGCGTCACTCTCTCACGAACTGTTTCCACTTATGGGCCGGTTGGGCCTGCTAGCGCAAGGAAGCCGTGTTTCGAGTGTTTTTGGAGAATTCTTGTCTTCTTCTTTTCTTCTTTTTTCCCTTTTTTTCTTTTTTCTTTCTTTTGGAGCGAGGGTATCGTCGTATGTGAAGCTCGGTGTTGGACGCTCGACAAAATCGATGTAGAGCGGAGCGGTCTTTGTATGGACTTGCTTGGACGGACCTAGACAAACAAGCAGGCAGGCAATGCGATCGAACGATTTTGGTTGGCGGCCCAGACGGGAAAGGCCCCAGGAACGGAGAACGTAGTAGGTGATTTTGGCTTGGATCGGTTTCTTTGCTTGGCACTGTGGACGGATGACAGCGAGTGAAGCTTTTATACTGGGCAGACAGGCACAGCTGACGTGAACAGACAACCGCAGCGGATAGCTTTGTCAAAGCGAGCGAGTGAAGTAAAAAGCTCTCAATTTCTATGCTTTAAGCACCGACGAATAGCGGGCGTAAACAACACGATCTTCTTGCATCAATGAATGAAAACGGAAAGCCCTGAGAACACAAAAAGCCAAAGTGGGTTCCATCAATGGATCACCCGTCAGGAACTTGCACCGCCCACGCACCTCGCTGAATGATGATTCGCGTGCGCCCCATCCCAGGGGCCTTCAGGTGGTCCGTGTTCCATTCCCCCCCAGGCGACATGGAAACCCCACCATCCACAGCACCCAAGTCGCACTGCACGGTACACAAATCAACATAACTGTGCACCAACGCCACAGCAACCGGCCATCCACATATATGCAAGACCCAAGCAAGACCCAAGGTCAGACCGTCCCCTCCCATCGCTTCATCTTTCCTGTGGCTTGCCCTTGGTAGATCCCTCCTTCGTCGACCTTCCTGTCCCCCTCGGGCCGTTATGGATTTTTTTTTTTTTTTTTTTTAGCTGGATGGATAGTGCCTATGTCCAGCGAACTGGAACCACTTAACGGGCGGGAGCCAGGCCAAGGGTCTCACACCTTGTGCGGCGTGCCTGGCCACTGCGCGTGGGAAGACCTTGCTCTGTCATCAATGCTGTGCTTTTTTGGGTATTAGGCAAACAAAAAAAAATCCTGTCATCAGACGAAAAGAGGTCATCCACCATCATCCATCGTAACTGCATGTAGAATACAAAAGAGCAGAGGACATAGGCGGCGCAGTTCTGGTGACCTCAAATGCAACCAGACGGATGGACGACGGCCGTGTAGCTGGCCAGCCTTCGGATATAGGGCATATATCATGGGCAAAAGCGTAGTACTATCACGGTTTTTATGCCATTGGACATTGGCACCAAAAACACGGTCACGATTATAGGTCGCTGATGAAGGCGACCTTGCGCGTCATGCTAGTTGCTTTCTCCTCCCTTGGCATCATTTCCCCCCCTCCCCCCCCTTCTCGGCCAGAGGAGATAGCAGGCCATATGTAAGACCAACATGTGCCCCGGATCTCCGCATGATTCCGAGCCATGTACTCCTCCCGAGAATCTACCTAGGTAGGTAATGCAGTACATAGCAATCGCAGCCCGTTGTAGTGCAGGTATCATACCGGTTCAAAGGAAGGGGAATGTTTGCCTCTCCATGCTGGTTAGAAAGAAAAACCCCCTTTTCAGTACTGCCTTGCATAACCGCAGTAAAGTCAAGTCAAAAGCTCTCTCTCTCTCCCCTCCATTCTACGTTATGTTATAATTGTTGCTATTTTCATACCTCCCTTTTTTAGTCCTCAACGCCGCGAAACCCGATCCCGTGGCATGCAATATGTAAGTGTAGTAGAAGGTTAGTAGGTGTAGTAGAACATATGCCATGCCTCCGAATGATTTGCAGCCGCAAAGTACACGGTGAAAAAAAAAAAAGGTTCCCTCCAACGTGATTAGTGTCCTGTTATGAAAGAAGAAAGGAAAAGAAAATCGAAAATGCAGTTCCCATCACGATGTTCACTCCACAGCCGTTAAAGTTGGCAAGGAACAAAAAATAGACGTTCGAATAGCGAGCTTAGTTGCCGTTGGAACGAGAAAGTTGGGCTTCGATCCAGCCAGGGCGATATTTGACGAGGTACTTGGCTGCCAGGGGGCGGGCATCTTCGTCTGGAGCAAAGTTAGCAAACATCCCACATCATAAACATGAAGCAAATAGGAAATCTTACACTCCGTCCAAATCTCCCCCACCATATCCAACGCCAACTCCTTCGCTGGAGGCTTCGTCATGACCAGATACAACAAGCTCGTCAGCGCCAGCTGTACGGTAGTCGGATCCTCACAGAGCACCTTGAGCTTCCCCAAAAGCGGCCTCGTCAGCTCCGGAATCTCCGCAAGGAACCTTGTCAGCAGCTTATCCTGCGCCGTAATGTAATTAATAAAACCATCCATCACGCGCAGCGCCCACTTTTCATAATGCATTTGCAATGAGGCCCCATTCCCGGCGGCAGTGGCCTTCGCAACCTGATCACAGTACCACTCCTCCGTCAACCACGCAATTGCGGTATCAATATTCCTCCTCCAGTCCTCGAACACATGGTTGTACAAAATCTCTCGGATAGCATCACCCAGCCCGGGACGAACGGTACCATCCTCCTGCTTGATGAGCGCCCTCTCCGACGGGAATAGGCCGCTGAGATTCGAGGTGCCGCGCGTCGCGAGACGGATGATAACCGTCGCGAACCAGTCGCGGTCGTCCTGGCTGCCAGCAAGACGATTAAAACCAGCCTTCTTGCGGCCCGCGGATTCCTTGAGATGGGGAAGCAGCTCGAAGAGGCGGGTAGCCAAGCTCGGGACGGCCTTGGAGGCGGAGTCGGCGTCGGTGGCGGGGGGAGAGGGAAGTTTGAAGGGGCCCAGGGCTAGGGCGGCGCTGTCTTCATGGTTTTCTTCCTCGAGAGGGACCTCAGGCGGGGCGTTGTCGAGCTTGTTGAGGATCTGTTCGGTATCCTCAGCTGGGGTGAGGTCTGGCTCGTAGTCATCGTCGTCGTCATCGACACCCAGAGGAGCCGTGGCGGGGTTGAGAACAGAGGGAGCAACTGCCGCGGTGGCAGCAGCAGCATCAGACGCGCCGGCTGCATAGAGAGCAGCCAGCCGGTCCCGGACCCCATTGATGGCGGCGTCGATGACTGCGGGGGAGATAGTCGCCAAAGCCCTGATGCTGATCTTGGCGGCAAGAGGGGCGGGGATGAGGGTCGCATCAAAGGCTTGCAACCCGGCATTGTTGGTGAGGGTGAAGACGGAGGCCAAGCTGTGCGGGCCAGGTCCCAAGGGAGGGACCACAAAGGGTACCGCGCCCTCCACTTTTTGACGCTTTGCATCCATTGGATAGCCCTGTTCGGACAGAGCACGCTTGCGTGCGTCATCGAGGAGCTCGGCCTTTGCGCGCATAAGGCGCTCGAGGTACTGCTGAATCCGGCCATTGAAGGGGTTGGCGGGATCGCTGATTTGTGTTAGTGAGAGCTAGTCAGACCCAGAGGAGTCGAGGGTCGTACCGCTTAATGAGATGAGTGAGGAACATCCGAGTAGTCTTCTCCATGGACTTCACGTGCATCCTGGTGGTAGGGGTCATAGGTGACATGGTAGCCAACTTCAGGGGGTTGAAGTTGAGAATGGCATTGATGATGCGGTTGGAGGTACTAGGCCGAGTCCGGATCAAGATGGACAGACAGTTGAGCGTAGCGTCAACCATCAGAGCATTGCTATGCCTTGTTAGTTGCCTGTGGCTGTGGCTTCAAATCATCTATACTGATGTACACACCTGCTGTTATCCTGCAAGACACCCAGCATTCGGTCCAGCAGGCCAGTAGCCTCTGCCTCAAGATGTCTAGGATCCAGGAGATTGTGGTTGGGTGGGATCATGTTGAGTGAGACGTCCAAGCCATTGTACTATGGGCTTTGTCAGTACACGTACCATTGAGTGAGATACGAATCGCCTACCTTCTGCTCCATGCCATTAGAAGCAGTCTGGGCCAGGACAACTCGCTGAGCAAACTTGATGCAGCTGATCTTGATAGGAGCCGGGGCACTATCCCAGATGTTGAGGATTCTAGACTTGATGGCAGTCATCTGCTCCCACGGCTCAGCATAGTAGGAGTTGTGAATGCTGTGGTTTCAGAACGAATTAGCGATACTAGCTTTATCATCGGCCTTGTCTCTGCTACTTTCGACTCAACAAAGCAAGGTAAATAAGCTCGAGGATGCCCAACAATCCACGGACATATAGCCCGATCTTCCCTGATTCTCCTCGTGGACTGGGAACCGGACACTCTCCATTCGATCATAGGTAAGACCCTGAAGAGTGCATGAGAGGACTGGAAGAAGCCAGGAGTAAGACCGCACGAAGCGCTTTCACAGTAGACGAAGCGCTATCATACCAGCCACAGCAGCAGCGGACGTAGGGCCGTCACAACACCAACAAATCGGACGAAGCGCGTTCACAAGCACATACCACACCTGACAAAGACACCTCCAACTACACGGAAAACAAAGCGCAAACCAAAAGCAAGACGAAAGAGACAAAAGGGAAAACTCACATCCACCTCAGCGTAACAGGATACGCGCTGGCCGCAGCCCCAACACAAGCCTTCAACACGATCAGATCCTCGCCCACGCCCTCTAGCAAACTGCGCAAAGTATCCAGCACAGCAATGACAAGATTCTCCTTGTCACGGGTGCTCAGGACGGGAGTGGCGAGAGACTCGGCGAGGAACTCGGCACCCCAGCGGCGGAGTGGGAGGGCAGCGTTGGGCCCGATAATGGGCAGCACGCCCTTGACGATGCGATCGTAGTAGGCTGGCTGCTCGAGGACCAGCTTGCGTGCTGCGTTGAGCTGTTCGAGTTGTTCGGCGACGGAGAGGGTCTTGGGGCTGTTGGAGGAATTGGTGTCAGCGGCAGCGGCGGGGCCACCGCTGTCGGTGGGATTGTCTGCCATTGTAGAGGGCAAGGGGATTGGTTGGTTGGTGTCGTACGGGGTTAAGTGTCGTTAAGTTAAGGTTAAGGTTAGAAGATGGTCGTCTCGGCGTGTCCCGCGCGTGGAGGAACAAAAAGGGCTAAGGAAGAGGTCGCGGGAGGAAACGAGGGAGACCTGGTCGGCGATGTTATAGATAGAGGTCGAGACCTTGGTATGTGATGGAGAATAGCCAGATGGAGAACTGACAATGAGGGTTATCTACAGAACTCGTTTGGGGTTATTCAGATCGAGCCCGTGAGGAGAGACTGAGAGAAGGTGAAGCGGTTGAACCGGCCGCGATCTGCAGATATTCGAGGACCTGCGAAACAGTCCAACTCGTTGGATCGAGTCAATTGCTTGAGGCGATGCTCCTGCTTCGTGCCTACGAAGCACAAGATGGATGCTATGGGCTATCTTCAATCGCCAAAGGATTTGCTTCTGCTCTCAGCTGCCCCGCGCTCTTCACGACTTCCCTTCGATGGACGACAAGTCTTGTTGGCAAGTCAGTAGAAGGCGACCGATCATTCTGCTGCGCAACGAAGACGCCAATGACAGAGAGGGCAGCGATTTTGATGGCGGATGAGGACGGTGCGAAGATAACTCAGTAATGGCAGCGCTTCTGCGACGATGGATGTTAAGTGACCGGAAGGACTTGAAGAGACGACCAGTTGTCGCATAAGCAAGTTGGTACACAAGTCGCCGACCGACTTGATTTACTCCATCCACCCGCAGCAATGTCGCAGGCACTTGAAGGATCGAGGAAAATCAGTTAACAGTAAAGTGATTGCCAATGATCGTACTGAAAAGCTGTCTCTCAATGGCGACTGCAGACTTCGCGTTGGCGCACCTGTGCAATGCGGTTCCGACCGTTGATACCGCTCTAAGGTTGTTGTTTCACAGACCTGGTTGAAAGTGTTCAAAACTGCTGCTCGCGTGGGATGTAGGCTGTTTGTGAAAGAGAAGGAAAGAAAGGCACCCTGTCTGAAGTCAAGCAAAGCAAGCAGTAGCACACACACACACACACACACACAGCACACACACGACGCGCTCTCACCAGTGACGTGAAGAAAGGCCAAGCCAAGAAAAGCGATTGGATTGGAGCCTCGCAGCAGGCTGGAAATCTGACAAGGCCTGCACGGACCCTTGTAAGATGCGCGTATGCTTTGATTGGCCAGCTACCGATAAGTCTGTTCTTATCGGCCGAAGTAATCAACCCACTGCCCGCGGGAGCATCCGCTTGACGGCGGCCCATTTTCGAAAGGAGAGCGAGCTTCGATCCTGACGATTCACCTGCTGCAAGCTTTCTAAACTAGGTAGCTCCTCTCTATCTCGCAGCACAAACCCCTCTGCTGGGTATTTGCTCTCACACACCGCTATGGACAGGTATACCGCCAAGCGTAAACTGTATCAATTTCGGACTGCAGCTAACCCCTCACCCTCTGTACCAGACGACCGGGACGGGGTCTTCAGCCCTCGACCTACTGGGACAGCAAGTACCGGCAGACGCCGGCGCTGATCCGCGCGCGTCGGCCCTACCTATTCAAGAATGCTGTGACCGGCATCGCACTCTTCAGTCTTGCTGTCGGTGTCTGTACGTCTCCCCGGAGCCCTTCCACCCTCTCGATGAAGCACCAATGCCGGCTTGTTTCCCACCATCCCACCTAAGACCCGGTCCTGAAAATCCCCGCAGCAGCTGACCAAGATATTCAGACATCTATACGATCAAGGCAATCGGCCAAGACGAGTTCGAAGACGTCAAGGTGCCTGATGCGCCGGTACAACCCACGACGACGCAGGAGAAGAAATAAGCAGATACCGGCAACTCATCCGAGCTGAGAAACAAACTGTATCAATGATGACCATGTGTACATCTACTACGACTACTTCTGTACTATTAACTCATACCTAGAGGTGGGAGGGCGAGCGGTGTTGCTGGCATGACAGTATCTGTATATATGGCATGTCAAACGGAGTTCCGGACAATCTCATTTCGATATCAATTGACGACCCTGTTCTATGTCTTGGCTTCCAACTCGGCAATGATTGGATTATCAGGCTTGGAAACATTCTGCCAAAGTTCGCAATATAATACTCACTGCCAACCTGTACACGGAGCCATGACCCTTTTTGTTTTTCCAAGGCCAGCAAACCTACAGTGTACACATATACACCTAATCCCCAACCCATAAGAAGCCATAAATTTCCGCATTCCATTCCATTGCAAGCAAACGTACAAAATTCCATATGTATCTGACCCGTGAGTGGTCTCATCTACACCATGATACCGGTACATTAGACCAACCAATCAGCCAGCCAGCCAAGCCTGTATCCATCAATATGGAAGAGAGAAGAAGAGACAATAAACCCTGCGCACCAGATGTGATAAGAATAAGATGATCGATCAATGACGATGGTGAAAGTTCCCGTTGTCGTTCAGCGCCAGCCACCCATGGATGATAATAGAGAGAAATTTTCCGTCTCTCAAAGCGTTTCCCGTTATAAAACCGTCGACCTTGGGTCCAAACCTCAAACCTCAAACTCCGTCTCTCTTGTAAGAATATAAATGACCGCTGGTCCACCCAATGAAGCGAAAGAACACCTTCTTTTTTTTTCGTGAAAAAACGGACGAAGAAGAATGCCATGATATAGCAGCGGGTTCGCTCATGAGGCATGGATCGCAGGTTCCCTCCTAAGCGGTTCCGGAGCTATGCCCGGCTTCGCCGCCTTATACGCATCAGGTCCAGCCGCCGTGGGGTGATGCGCTTTCGGCATATGCGCCGTCGGCGCTGAGTCACCATTGTATCCACCATTCGGCGGCGGCGGCGGCGGGGCATACATCCCGCCACTCCCAGACGGGTAATTAGGCGGTCTCCTCGGCACTGCCGAACCCGGACCTGAAGGCGCATACGTCGGCTGTGGGTGATGCCCCGCTTGCTGCTGCTGCTGCTGCTGCTGGCGATGGACAGGATGATTCGGGTTCGCCCAGGGCGTCTGCTCAATGAACTGCTCGCCGGCCGGGCCGAGGCCCTTATCGTAGGACAAGCTAGCCGCATAATCCGGGCGGAAACCAGGGTGTGTCGGCTGATGATTATGGTGATGATGATGGTGGTGGTGATGCATCGGGGGTCGGCTAGGCGCGGGCTCACGGGCGCTCTGTCGAAGAAGAGAGGAGGGCCCGCGTCAGACTGGCTGTGTTGTGCGCAATCAGAGCGTTCATCATACTTACCTTGATGAGCTCGAGATCGGCTTCGGCTTCGTCCTCCGAGATGCCGTTAATAGGCGGAGCCGCAGGGAATCCGACGTGCTTGGCGAATCCGGAGAGGATGGACACCTCCTTGTTGTACGCGACCGCGTTCCTGATGGCCTGGGCACGGGTAGACGGGAAGTGGAGGCTGTAGTCCGGGACGGTAGTGGCAGCGCGCCGACGCTCCTGCTGGATTTCGTACCATTCCTGGCCCAGTTCCTCGAGCGCCTTTTCCCTAGACTCACGCACAGCTTGATAGAACTGCGCCATGATCTGGGCGCGCTCGGCAACAGCCCGGCGACGGAGAACAGCCAGCTTGAACTGCAGCTCCAGGGCACTTTGTCTGATCTTTTCCTGACGTCGCTCCTCCAAGCATTGAAGCATGGCGAGGTACTCCGGGTGAGTCGGGGGATCGCTCGTCAGCATCGCTTCTTCCTGGTTCAGTTGCTCAAGACGCTCTTGGTAAAGTCTGTAACGAACAAACCCATTAGCAAACTTTTCCGGTTTAAACAAGCAAGGACAAAAGCTGGCACGCACCGCTCCCGGAAGCTGCTGAACTGCTTCTCAATGGCAACCAGTTCATCCCAAGCAGCCTTCTTCCTCTCCACTGCTGTGTCATTAGTCGCTGCCAAGCTCCGTGCCAGGGAACCTCGCTCCATACACTCTTCCTCATTGCGTTGTGCTGCTTCGACGTCTTCGTCGACGATTTCGGCTTGGTCATCCTCTGTCGGGGTGGGAACCTCGAGACTCTGTGTGTCGGCTTCTTCAGGCGGTTCATCTGGCGCCTCCTCCGGGGCAACGGACTCCTCTGGGCTCTTGCTCTTTTTCTTCTTCGGGCTCTTCTTCCCTTTCTTGGATTTGCTAGGTGCTGTCTCCTCCTCGGTCTGGTCGGGGAGCTCCTCCTCCTTGGCCTCGGTCGTTACCTCGTTGTCGTCTTCCTCTGTGGTGTGTTCGCCACTCTGTGGGTTGGTCGATACACCATCGTCGTCGGCCATCGGCACATCCTCGGCGTCCAGTTCACGGTCGGGGACCTCACCGGGGCTCCGCTTCTTCAATGGCTGTTCAGAGTCGGATTGTTCGGTAACCAACGAGCGCTTGCGTTTCCGCGAGTCGGCTGAGTTCTTTCGGCTCGCTTGAGGTGCAGGGGTATCTGCGGAAGAAACTGGTTGGCTCTTCTTCACTAGGGTCGGCGAGGATCGTGGTGGCTGGGCCTTCTTGCCACCATCGTCGTCGGTGTCAGTGTACGCTGCTGAAATGTCGTCGCCATCTTCTTGTTCTGCCTCAGTCCCTGTGTTATGGCCGCTAGCGATCTCTTCTGCATCGCCGTCGGCTTTCAGTTGCTGCTGCAACTTGCTGGGACTGGGCTGAAAGCCCCGGTCACGACGGTCGGTAAACCGCCGACCACCAGCGGGGTTCACAATTGCCCGCGCTGCGCTATTCTTGCGCGGTGTATCGTATAACCTCTCTGTTTCGGCCTCTGAATCGTTGACATCGACTTCTGACAGCTTGCTGTCGTCGGTGTCAGACGCAGCGGCAGACTCGGCGTCATCAGCAGTCGTGCCATTTCGCTTCGGCGTGTCGTGGGAAGTGCCCTCGACGCGCATGTCTAGATCGACGTCTTCGGTGTCTGCATCCCGGTCCTCGACGTCGCTGAGAGGGCTCGAGACGTTGCTGGGCGTGTCGTCCATGGCGGGCGGGGGAGGACTCGACTGTGCCGAGGGCGGCGCGCTGTCGTCACCGGCACTCATCGTAGAACATGCGTCCTGGTCGAAGCCAGGCCGCGGCCAATGGCGTCGAATACGTCGCAAGCGGCGTTCTCGCTGAAAAGAAGGCCGCGCAAAATTGGTTGGCTGGTGGGCAGCTGCCACGGCTGACGTCGACGGCGAAGCTGCAAGACCGCGACGGAGGACAAAACAATGGATGCTTTTGGGATAAAATGATATGATGTCGATATGGCCCAAGTGTCGCTTCACGCGGCTGGGGTTCTCGTGGTGCAAACGTCTGGTGCGAGGGCGGGGAGGTCAAAAGGGGAGAACTCTGTAGTGTGTGTTGACAGAGGCCGGGAGCGGCAGCAGAGCAGCACTGGCAGCAGGCGGGAGCACAAATGGGCCATAGCAAATGGGGACCACCTGCGACCCTTTGGTCTGCCCGCCTGCCCGATTTACCGCCGCCATCTTTGGCGGTGAGCGCTGGCAGTTTTTGATAAGGAGCGATAAGCGAATTTTTGGGCTGAGGTCCCACATCCGTGCGATGCAGCGCTCGAACTTTTGAAAGCTGCTTGCTTTTAGACCCGGGCTTGTCAGCATATCGTGGTGCGGGGGACTGCTCGGATAATGCAGATTTTGCTGGTCGCAGTTTGTTGTTTGAGACAATATCCTTGGTGTGCAGCAGGAACTTCAGCAATTTCTGTTTTGGTTGTCTCCCAATTGCCCCGTGTCACCACTTGAAGCTGTCCAGTTTTGAGCGACAGCTCTCTTAGACAACATGACCAAAGAGTATGAACCTCAGTTCCCATGCGCGATGTCAATTCAGGGTAAAAATACTGATTCGTTCATAAGCAAACCTGCCCTTCTGTTGTCGGCAAAGGCCATTGACCCTGCGCTGGACGCTCTGTTCTCCCAGAGTGTAAGTCATCCCTGGTCGCGACTCAGGAACCATTCCCTAACTCTGTCCAGGCCGGCCCAGTACAACCTCCTCCCAAAACCCGATACGCCGAGCTTGCTCGCAAAGCTAGGCAAGAGTCAGAAGAGAAGGAGGAAGAGAAGGAGCTGGAAGATGTCGAATCCGAGGAAGAGGAAGACGCGTCTGAGAATGGCGAAGAATCTTCTGAGGTAGGCTCTGGAGATGAGGAAGAGTCCGAGGTGTCAGAAGGAGAATCTGACGAAGAGGACGTTGAGGATGAGGGCGAGAACGAATCTGAGCCCGAATCCGAGGCCGACAATGACGATGCTAGTGAGAGTGCGAGCGCCGAGGAGGAGCTCGTTACCCCCAAGGCCATCGAAGAGGCTGTCCTGAACGGAACAACAAAAGAAGAAGGGCGCAAGAGGAAACGGAAGCTTCGCGACGAGGACGAGAACCTCGAGGCGGCCTACCTTGAGCGTCTTGCTAGAGAGGAGAAGGAGGAGGAAGAGAGATCTGCGAAGCGCCAGAAGGCCGTGGATGGTGCGAGCCTCCCCAAGGAGATTGACGAGAAGAAGGCCGACGGTGAAGCCGACGACAAGTCCTCGAGCGGCGAGATCCCCGTCCACGAAGCCCTTCAGCCCGGTGGCACAAGCGAGATCCAGTCTGAGCTCGACAAGGCCAACCGCACGGTCTTCCTCAGCAATGTCTCTGTTGAGGCCATCAAGGACCGGAAGGCGAAGAAGATCCTCCTCAAGCATCTCGCCTCTCCCCTAGACAAGAAAGCCGACCCCCCGCAAAAGATCGAGTCCATCCGGTTCAGGTCCACACCCTTCGGAACGACCAAGATCCCCCGGAGGGTGGCTTACATCAAGAAGGAGATCATGGAGGGCACGACGAAGTCTACCAACGCCTACGTGGTCTACTCCACAGCAGCCGCTGCCCGCCTGGCTGTACAGCATCTCAACGGCACCATCGTCCTCGACCGGCACCTACGCGCCGACAGCGTTGCACACCCCGCGCCGATCGACAACCGCCGGTGTGTCTTCGTCGGCAACCTGGGCTTCGTCGACGACGAGAGCGTGTATCGCACCAAGGTAGAAGACGGCAAGCTCGTAACAGAGAAGAAAAAGAAGGGTAAGGAGCCTTCAGACGTCGAGGAAGGCCTGTGGCGCGTCTTCGGCGAGCACGCCGGCAAGGTCGAGAGCGTCCGTGTCGTCCGCGACCCGGCTACCCGTGTTGGCAAGGGCTTTGCCTACGTCCAGTTCTATGTGAGCACCCCTTCCCCCTGCTTTCCCCACAAACTCAAACTAATCAGTCCCAGGACCCCAACTCCGTCGAGTCCGCCCTCCTCCTCAACGGCAAATCCTTCCCGCCCCTCCTCCCCCGCGAACTCCGCGTCTCCCGCTGCAAACCCCCTCACAAAACCGCCCGCGCCATCGAAGCCAAGCAAGCCAAAGCCGCGCTCGCGGCCGCCGAGGCCAAGAGAAAGGGCAAGAAAGGCAAAGGCGACGACGAACCCCCCACCTCAGCGCAATACAATCCCAAGCTCAGCGCCGAAGCGCAGACCCTCGCCGGCCGCGCATCCAAGCTGCTTGGTAAATACAACGCCGAGAGGCTGGTCGGCGTGCCCGCGGGGAAGAAGAGCAAGAAGAAGGAGAAGAAAACAAAGAAGGCGGCGCTCGATCCAGAGGGTGCGAAGGCTCTCGCTGCGGCAGTGGGTGTGGCGGAGGGCAAGCCGGTCAAGACGCCGGAGGAGTTCGTGTTTGAGGGGAAGAGAGCTAGTGCGAAGGATGGGAAGCCGAGGGATCTGAAGTTTAGGCCGAAGAAGAAGGCGAAGGATAAGGTTCACGGAAGCAAAAAGAGTAAGAAGGAGAAGAAGAAGAAGGCGGGGAAGAATTGAGTAGGGCTGTGAAGAGTAGGGTTAGGGAGTGAGGAGTTGTCTTCGGTGTTGGGGCATCGTGTAAAGCATATTGTATTGTTTGGCAAGAGGTAGACGGCCCTCGTTGAGGATAACCAGCCAGGCTCCAGCAATGCATGAACCGAAACAAGCGGACTGTTACACAAAGGAGGTTCCTTCAGCTTCGCTTAACCCGGAGTTATATGGTGGCACTTGTCAACAAATGCCCATGTTCCGCTGTCAAACAATACACCACGTTGTAAACTCAACGTATACCATTGCTGGACCCTACCTCTCTCTATTACTAGACACCAGTCTAACAACGATCCTATTCTGATACGTATTGGACCCATGCGTCTCCATCAGTCATCAATACAATCCCACACTCGTCAGGGAAAGACGTACGTAGCAAGCTGGGTATTGTATTGTAAAGTAGATGACCGCCCTGCTCTTCCGCCGCAACCCTGAAAACTCAAGACGGAAAGAGAGATAAGAAAACCAAGGCTGTACACGAACGAAGAAAGTAGAAAAGCCCAAGTTCACTTCGCCAATTCTGCAGGGGACAAGGCTGTCCACACGAACTTTTGCTCGACAAGAACCAACTGGAATAAAAAAGGAAAGAGAAAACCAAGGGGAAAGCTTGCTAGTAAAAGTTTTTTAATAGGGGGATAATGTGTATGTAGGTATTATCTTTCATAATGGTGTGTTAGCTGTAGGTACGCGGCATTAGAAACAAGAAACAACAAAAGAAGTTGGGTGTACCGGTCACACACACACGCACGCACAAACATCAGAATCATTTCCCGATCTCCTGTCCTCTCTGTCTTCTGTTCTCCGGTTAAAACCTGCTTTTTGTAGGATTTATCCAGAGGAAGAAGTCCATATGTCTTCCTGCATAAGGGGTGGTGGAGATTGCAAAAAAGGGGGGGGGTTTCGTATGCTGTCATTTCAGTCATCCCATCATCACTTCATACCAGTTTCGTTTCATTCCAAACACCCCCCAAAAAATCAGCTAGAAGGCCGAGGAACGTCATGAGCCCACGCTAAGTCGAAGGCTTGCGCTTGCTTTAAACACCGCCCACAGCCAGCCAACCAGCTCAAAACAAATTCAAGCCGGCAGCAGAAGGGCAGTACAAGAGAGCGCAGCGCACAGCTCTCAGTACTCAGCCTCACCTTCATTATCAGCCGAGTCGGCCGCGACCTCCTCGTAGTCCTTCTCGAGAGCAGCGAGGTCCTCACGAGCCTCGCTGAACTCACCCTCCTCCATACCTTCACCGACATACCAGTGCACGAAGGCGCGCTTGCTGTACATGAGGTCGAACTTGTGGTCGAGGCGCGACCAGGCCTCGGCGATGGCGGTCGTGTTGGAGAGCATCGAGACGGAGCGGTCGACGGCAGCGAGACCACCCTCGGACGGGTCCTTGACGGGAACGGCCATCGGCTTCTGATAGTTGATGCCGATCTTGAAGCCCGTCGGGCACCATTCGACCAAGTTGAACGAGGCCTTCTGCTTGAGCGCGGCCACAGCGGCACTACAGTCGCGATGAACGACGTCGCCGCGGTAGAGGAGCGCAACGGCCATGTACTTGCCCTTGCGGGGGTCGCAGACGACCATTTGGTTGTTGGGCTCGAAGCCTGGGAGCGGTTAGCGCAAAGTTCCGAGTACTATCCTCAGCTTCTGAAACGTACATTGGAAGGTAAGGTCGGAGACCTTGAAGCTCTCGTGAGCGCTCTTGGCAGCCGAAACGACGGGGGCGTAGCTGATGAGCGGGTAGTGGATACGCGGGTACGGAACCAGGTTGGTTTGGAACTCGTTCAGGTCGACGTTCAGGGCACCGTCGAAGCGCAATGACGAGGTGATGGACGAGACAACCTGGGCGATCAAGCGGTTCAGGTGCTCATAGCTCGGGCGGGGGATATCGAGATTACGGCGGCAGATGTCGTAGACGGCTTCGTTATCGACCAGGAAGGTGCAGTCCGAGTTCTCAATGGTGCTGTGCGTCGACAGGACAGCGTTGTATGGCTCGACGACGGCCGAGGAGAGACGGGGAGCCGGGTAGATGGTGAACTCCAGCTTGCACTTCTTGCCGTAGTCGGTCGCGAGGCGCTCGAGGAGCAGAGCACCGAAACCAGAGCCAGTGCCACCGCCGAAGGAATGGAAGATCAGGAAGCCCTGAAGGGAGTGGCAGTTATCTGTCATCTGGGTCAGCTTCAAATTCAGCCCGCCAACCCTCATCGTGGCTTTTTTCAGGAAGCACTCACCAGTAACGCGGCGGATGCGATCGATGACATTATCGATCATCTCTTTGCCGATAGTGTAGTGACCGCGAGCATAGTTATTGGCGGCATCCTCCTTGCCGCTGATCAGGAGCTCGGGGTGGAACAGCTGACGAAACTCGCCAGTGCGGATCTCATCGATGGGCGAGGGGTCGAGATCGACGAAGAGGGAGCGCGGCACATACTTGCCGCTGCTCGTCTCGGTAAAGAACGTATCGAAGGAACCGCCCTCGGCAATATCCTTGGCCTCCGGGTTGATGCGGCCATCAGGGCTGAGACCGTGTTCGAGAAGGTACCTGAGAAATCACCAGTCAGATAACCTCATCGTGATGTGCGACGCGACGGCGGACAGGCGGTGACACTCACAGCTCCCAAGCGCTGTTGCCCAGCTGAGCACCAGCCTGACCCAGATGGATGTGGATGACCTGTTTGCAAGTGTTTTAGCATCTTATCCGTGCAATATCATGAAGGAGAACGCGGTCATGTGTCGTGGTGGTGAGGCCCAGGGGATAGCTCGGTGAGCTCGGGAAGCTCTCCGAGCGGAGCTCAGGCGAGCTGTCGCTCCTGATTTCAAATCACCCCGCCATCCCCGCGAATTTGCCAGACCACAGAGCGCACGACGACGGAGTTATGAAACGCTTCGCAATCTCGCAACCGTGTCTTCGAGTCGCCCAACTCGTTCATCCACCATCAGTCTGACAGCTGGGAACACCCGGGGTAGCGACGGCGGCGACAAGGTTGACGTTCCCCACAGGAATAAGGGGTAGGCATGCGAGAGCGAGGGCGGGCATGGAAGATAGTATCTCGAAGAAAAAAAAAGAAAATAAACACGCGAGCAACATGCTCGCTGGGGGTCATCGTACCTCTCCTCTCATATTGACGGGGTGTCGTGATACTAGCTACCGGTAGGAGGTTGTCAGGACTCAAGAAAGCCCGAAGGAAGCGGAACAGCGAGGCGCACAGCGCGTTTTGGCAGGAAGGCCCAGGATGATGGAAAGTAGGGAAGTCGGTCGGCCGTGAAATTTGCGGAGAGGGCGGGGAGGTTAGCTGTTGGTTGTTCGGCCGTGGAGATTGGTGGGTCTCGGGTGCAGACAGTCCTTGGGAGGGGCATTTATCATGGGTTGGGCGCCAAGGTAGCCGGTACTTCTTAGAGGCCATGATTATCCCGCCTTTCTGAGCGCGGGAGAAGTTTCTGTGACTTGGGCCCGCGCCCCCACCTTTTGCCCACTACCCGCTCACCGCTTGAAGTTCCTGGCCTTGTCTTTCGACGTCAACCCTCAGAAAGCCCGCCGCAAGTTATTGATCACTGTGAGATGGCATAGATAAAAACAAAGACATTTCATTAAGAATACTTTTTAACAGTGCACTTTGATGCTTTCGAGACGGTCGATCGAACAAGGAACAAGAAGCAAGCTCCAAATCATCATTGACTCGTCGTCCTACTCTGCTCCGAGCCGTGACTGATCATCAGGTTGTTGAACTGAGCGGGCCAATTGGGCAAAGGTCATTGGGCCCAACTCTCGCCTGGCGAGCATTATGTCCTCATTCTCGGGTCCAAACCACAGGCCAGGAAAATCTCCATGAAGACACTTGGAATTGGTTCAATGACTTGTCTGCATTTGCATAGCGCTTTAGTCCAATTGAGAGCCAGGAAACCAAAACTTACGTTTCCTGCCTGTCTTACACGGCATTTTGGCTCTTCTACCGTATTCTTTTTCTTTCGTCAAGTTGAGGTTGTTGAGCGTTGCCAAGATCGCTATTTACACATTACTATTTAACACGCAATCTGGTGACTTTACGAAGCAATTCTTAGCTAATACCAAGCCTTTGCACACCGTTTGTCCCGTATTTACTGTGTATGGCTTCATGTGCACCTTTCATCGCATTTAAGATCGTTGCACTTGAAGGCTTGTGACCTTGGAAATCAGGGGCTAGTGTCATTAGCAACACTCAACAACTCCACCATCAGCTCCGGCATAGACACGGCTGTGCTCTGACTGAGAAAAAGGCAACATTCGCGAAAATATCGAAGACCACGAGGACAAGTGTTAGACTCAATCCCCCATTTCTCCAGGACCGACGAGTTGAAAGCCGCATGCTCAAACCACATAGTTTATCTATCCAATAATAAGCACACCGTCTATGCCACCAGAAGATACATGAAACAGATCTCATTTGTTGCTTTGATGGCTGCCTTCTAGCCACTGTCCATTGAACGTTAAGAAAATCCCGCTGCCTGGCAGACTCTCAAGTAAGAAAATCTAGGCAACAGATGTAACTCGACCAATGCTGCTCACTGAGGCAACCGTTTTGAGGCTTGAGGCATACGTATCTTGCTTGCCTTGTATATCTTTGCTGCAAGACAAGAAAGGAAGGTATTTTAGGTTCTGCATCTGCATCGCGTGCGAAATGCAGGTGCCTGTTACCAGTACAACTTGCGATAGTTTACGGTGTCTGCATCTCTGCTGGGCAACAATTTAGAACCCACAAGCTCACTTTTGAGGATCCGTTAAGCTTGAAATGCACTACGTCACATTTACTTTTGGAAAAAAAAAAAGAAATCGCAAGGGTTAAAGTTTGCACTGGAATGAGCTCAAAGACTCATTGAAGTAAGCCATAGCATGTGCGGTCCGAGAGTTTGACACGCTCGTTTCTTCTATCTCATGAAGGACAGCTGGATGTATTAGAGAGGAAGAAAATTCGAAACTACATCTGCGGAGAATGCCAGGAGAAAATGCATCGAGAAAGTGAATATTCTTTCGCACTGCCTGTGCGTAAGTTATGCCCCAACCCTTGGCCCTATAAACCCCGTTGTCGCGCCTTGCCTATCAATTAGGCCACCACGATAATCGAGCATGATCGTGACATAGTGGTAACGTGTGGTGAGCTTAGCGCCTTGTCCCCCGGGTTGCTCGAGGAGCCGCCTACGCTCTCCCCCGTTGTGGGTTCGAGTTGAGTTGTAGGGGGCAGTCTCATCTTTTGGGTTGTGAGTAGATTTTGGGTTTTGTCCCATGTGGCGGTCCTGGATGGAGAGGGGTAAGTTCAACACGGCTGCTGCGAACTGTAAAAACACTAAGTATCTTAAATGAAGTAAAGAGAAATTACGATAGGGTGTACAAGGGATCAGACAGGAAGTGGCATGAAATGCCATATTGAAATTGTTGATATGCAGCTTGTCCATTCCTTAGCGATGACCAAAGCTGCTATTTTGTTTTCAGTGAACCAAATTTCCTTCGAAGGTTATATGCTTCCGTCAGTACTCTAATAGAAGCACTGCTACTTAAGTATTTCCCTGACATGCACATGGCGGGCATATCCTTTCTGGCTCTGGCTGGAGTGAAACCCAAGTAGCCCAGGCCATCAAGACAGAAATGCCGATGGTAGTAATTTTCCTGCCGTCAGATGCGGAAAACGGATTTGGCAATTGAGATTAAGGTTACGGCTTTGAATACGTAGCCTGTGTTCCTTCCTTCCTTTCTTTTTTCGTATCCCTGAGCATTGTCTAAACCCCTGACAAGACCTATCTCCTGTTGTTTACGTCTCTCTCTAGGAAGATCGGAGATGTTTTCCAGAGCAACAACAACAACAACAACAACAACAACAACAACCGAGGTCTGCGGAAGTAGGAAATGTTTCCGGGGGACTAAACCAAAATGTCTGCAATGACGCAACTGCGATCATGAAAGTCGAAATATGATCTGCAGTTTTACCATGCTTTCGCGCTGTCAAATTTGATAGAACCGATGGCGATAGAATCTTCAGTTTGAACCTACCGCAGTAGGTAACTGTAAGTTGTACAGACACTATCTCCAACTGAGGACTTGCCAATAAATAGTTAGCCTAACTTTGTAACTATCTGGCAAGTGTTCCAATTCCCAATGCTTCGAAAAGCGAAGTTAAGACAGTTACACCACTGACACAAGGGGTTGCTAGAGGTGTCTCTGTTGGATGATATTCGCGCAGAGATTGTTAGAAAACTGAGCCAGCGCGCAGCATACTAACAATGTGGCGTCGAATGCGAAGTCGAACAAAACAGCGCTTGAATAGGGATATGTCAAAGTAGCTTGATAACACGAAGACATCTTGAAACAATTGTGATCGACAACATTATGACCTCGAAACAAAGTTTGTCTGCGCCTCTTGATTTGCATCAAGGGCGGTGCTGTAGACAGCGAAGATGCAAGGGACAGGCAAAGATCGCTGAACCCACGTGCGCTGTAGAATGCAGCGGTGTGCCCCACGTCACACAGCAGGAAAGCTGGGGAAACAAGTAACAACACTCGACACATTGGCACACAATTGTCCATCGACTCGTTGCCACACAAAGGCATTAAGAAGACAAGCGCCCATATTAGGGTATCCCATTGACTTAACGCAGTCTCTCGAGAGAGCTTTTCATGTCTAATAGAGAAAATAGACACCAAACACTGAGTTGACACTCCACAGTGAGATGCTTTCCCCATTAGATTATGTACCGGAGTGATCGTGAGGAAGAGAGCCATTACCATAAATCACTAGCCGTAGGACATCCTGCACTGACGAACAAGAGATCATACAACTAGATATCTAGAAAGAGGTAAAGGAATATAGCAGAAAACAATGACACAAGATAAACACACCCAATTAAGTCCTCCACACTCTCTCCAGGATCCCGCATTTAGAATGCGAGGATAGCAGCAGCCAGACCACCGAAGAGGGCCAGAGAACTAGCCGCGAGCTGCTTAGCGCCGCCGGTTTGGGCGGCGTCAGTCTCCTCAGTTTCAGTGGCAGAGGCTGTGGTGGTAATGGCCTCAGTGACGACAGTGGTTGGGGAAGCGACAGTAGTCGACCAGTTGCCGCGAAGAGACGAGAGGGTCGACGAAGTCACAGTGGTGAAGGTGGTGGTATTGGCGGCAGTGCTGAGCTTGGTTGAGACGGCAGTCGATGTGGCGGCAGCGGCCGTGGTAGAGGTGATGACAGCTCCAGAAGTGGTGGCCGCGGGCTCGTCATCGTCGCTGCTCGAGCCGCCCTTCTGCACGATCTTGAAGGGGAAGCCGTACTGGAAGATGCTCTTGTCCGACTCAAGAGTGATCATGATGCCGTAGGTGGCCAGGTCGCCAAAGTCAGCGGGGACCTCCCAGTCATACTCGTTGAGAGAACCATCGACGCCGGCTATATGGATCGACTAATGTTAGCGACTCCGTTGCGTGTACCGCGGAACAAGTGCCGATCGTTGATTGACACGTGGAGAATGTCCATCTGGGCGATGATCACTTACCGGCAATGGCATCGACGACAGTCAGAGTCGACGGGCTGGATCCGCCAAGGAGATCGATGGCGATGGTGCCCTCATACTTAGGGTTATAGTCCCAGACGATCTTGTAAGTAGTGCCGGCGACGACCTGCTCGTCCTTTTTAGGCGTGTAGATGGGGTGGAAGCCGTCAATCTGGGCAAAGGCAGCGGCGGCAAGAGCCAGAACGGAAGCCAGGGAGAACTTCATGTTGAAGGATGTAAACAAAGGTTGTTTTTGTTTTAGAAGGAATTTAAAAGTAGGGATGGAATAGATCCAAACGAGGGACTGATCAAAAGACGGATCAAAAGAGCGGGATGAAGTGATAACCCAAGGGAGCGACAGGACACTCGGGGGAGCGGCCGGGGAGCTATGGCAACTTTATGTGGAAGAAAGTCAGAAGGAGCGAAAAGAGCGGACTGTGGCTGCGCTGGCGCACCACGCTTGAAAAAGCCTTTACTACTGTTAAGTACGCGTCACGAAAGGCAAAAATTCCGTTGGTTGGAAAAGGGAGAGAGAGGGAGAGAGGACGTGAGGTCGTCTGTGTGGCGAAGCCCTGGTCTATAGCTTCAGCTCAACCTCTCGCCCACACATCGCCCACGACGCCCACAATGCCCAGCCTTAACCCTGCATCCCATCACCACTGGTTGGATTAGTCACCCTTTTCGCATGCTACGGTGCTGCCTGCTGGGTAAATTGAACTCCTCGCTCGCCGCGACAATTTGCTTCTGCCCTGCCCCCGGCATGGTAGTCCATGTCTTCCGTGTCTCCCATGTCTCTTTCCATGCCTGCCAGCGATGGATCTGGCCGTCCTATCCGACACCATTGGTCCGATTTTTGGGGGGACCAGCATTGCGAACCCCTGAGGGCTCCAACCGTTAGAGAGCTTGCGTTCACCGCGCCCAGGGTTAACAGACCAGCAAGCCAGGGTTAGCGGTGATGAAGCGTGATGAGAGGTGGGGAGGGCGGACTCTGCAGAGAGGGGCCGTCTGCCTGGAATGCGGGACACGAAAACGTGAGATTGGGTAACATGGGCGGAAGCACGGGAAATGATCAAAAAGGGTGTTCTTGGTCCCAAGAGGGCCCAGTGACAAGCCGCAACAAGCCTCAACCAAGGAGGCGGCATCCAGCGGGTTGAAACCCAATACAGGATATTTGTGGGGCCGTAAGGCACCCGCTAGCCCGCATCCCGCTAGGCGCTCCATCAAAAAGTCAGATAGAGTGGAGCGGGCTAGGCAGGGACCAGCAATTTGGGCATTGGACCCTAGCCGAATCACTCGTTGATCCTTCCTCATTTGTGTTGGCCAACAACACACAAATCCCATGCACCCCCAGCCCGAACCAGACATTGAGTGTGAACTCGGACGGTGATGATGGTGACGGTCAGGCAAGCATACAAACCTGTCAGCAGTGAGCTTTTCCACAAAGTAAGGGCAAGAATTGGTAGTGAATCAAGACTGGAGCTGAATAAAGATATCTGGCAACACAGACCCAGACGAACATTTCATCCTACTTATTCAAATCAAACTTTATTCAAGTCTATTTCTGTTCAGCAGTTTCTCTGCCACTCCAATCACATTCAGGACGCGTCCTCCACGGCGCGAGCACCTGCACGCCTTCGGGGAGCATGAATCGACGCCGACTCATCCTCAAGTCAGCCACCCGGCGGAACGTCTTTCGATTCGTCAAACAGGCGAAAATTACGGAGCGTCAGCGCACAGTCGCTTCTTCCCTCCGTCCATTCAAGCGTCCCAAGAAAAAGGATTTGCTCCTTTAGTTTCATGCAGGCCCGTCTCGACTGGGAAGCCCTGTGTGACGCTGACCTGTTCCTGCGCAGCTGAGAAAAGCACGCTTCCGTTCAGCCCTACGAGGTCAAGTCGGAAGCAAACGGAGATCATCAGCAGAACAAACAGAAACCGGCCGACTGGAAAGAGTTAGGTATTGCATTGATCCAATGATAGGAGAGAGGGCTACACTACAGGACGGCAAACACTACTACCTGCTGTGAGGACAAAGAGACATCAACGGCAGTGAAGTGTGCATGGCTTTTTCTTGGCGATTCGGACGATATAACCGCATAGCCGAAGGATGGCTGCTAGCTGCCTACAACTGCCTACGGCTGCCCACGGAGTGGCCACGCACAAGTTCCTCGCAGGATCGCCCCCCTGAGTCGGAAAAAGTTGCGCCACAGATGCATGCTGTTGGTTCTCACGGTTCTTGGATCTCTGGGCAACCTCGGTCTCGGCTTAAAATTATCGGACGATGGTGTTGCATTCATCAACTCGATACAGGAGTGCTTAGTGTCCTCAATGCTTCAGCCTGTTTGCCCTCTGCTTACTCTACAGGAGATCTTCGGACACGCTACCTCTTACTCCCCCTTCTAACCTTCCCAGACATAGGAACCGCCCATGTTAAGCAGCCAAATCAAGCTGTTAAACTCGACATCCAAGCTCTTAATCTGCCAGTAGCCCTCGCGCTTGGTAGTCCCAATGATCGTGATACCGCGGCTAGGCAGGTTGGCTGCGCCAAAGGTGGCGTGCCAGCGCAGGGCGATGGCCTCGCAGTCGACGGCGTCGATGTGGTCGATGACGACGGGGAACGGCGGGTTGGACAGCTGTGCGTCCATGAAGATCTGCTTGGTTGCAAAGGTCGGCTCGCCCAGCGGCTTGTGAATAAAAGTGTTGATGCTGTCGGAGCGGTCGACGAAGTCCTCCGCGCAGTACTTCTCGCAGTCGGTCGGATCGTACTCGGCGATCAGGCGCCGGTAGATCTCGACTATTTCGGCGGCTTCGTCCTTGGTCAGGCAGGCTTGTTCTTCCTGCCGCGGGGTAAGTGTGCCGGTGGGAAGGGCAAGTGCCGTGCCGGCGAGAAGGGCGATCAGGGAGGAGAAGCGCATTTTGTTGGGGAGTTCTTGATCAAAGATCTAGATATCTGGATGATGTTAGACCTGGTGACTGCTGTTCTTCTCGTCATCACCGTCCTCGTCCTCGACATCACTTTATATCCTTACATCGCCGGACTATTTTGAGAGTTGTTCTCTCTTGGCCTCTTTCAGCGGAGAGCTCCCCAAGATGTCCATATTGACTCTGAATTTATCCAGCTAACTCCGATCTGGGACTTAATCACCATTCTTCGGACGTCCGGCCAGCACTAGGAGTATCTTCGCTGGGCACGGTGTTAACATGGTAGTGTCGGCTTGTCAGAGCAACGACGGCCGCGTTGACAAAGTATTGCAATCACTGCGAGCCCGGCCGTCGGGCCCGGCTCGGACCCGACTTGCGTGGCCGTCATGGATCTGTTCCTGCGGCTTAATTGAGACAAGAAGAGAGTGAGTTTCTATCTCTGGGGTTGCCGTGCCCCAAAGTGCTCAAGTGCCGTTACCGAAGACGGTGCCATCAATGAAGATTATGTCAGCTTTCTACACGCAAAGAACTACGTAGTGATATTCCCCGAGTTCCCTACGCCCTCCCCAGCTAGATTGCCGGGCCCGGACGCCGAGATCTTACCAGGAACTTGGCGCAATATGGAGTTCTGCATGATCGGATAGACGAGCAGAAGCTTGCCGCTCTCCGAGGAAGCCACATCGTCTGAGTTGGCCGTGTTCCTGCGCCCTCGGGCCCGGCCCTCCCCCGCCTTTCCCGCCCTCCGGGTACTGACGGGCTCGGTTACCCGGAATGCTGCGATTCCACTTTAAGCGTGCCGTCTCATCCTAGATACGCTTTATCAGTTGTCTGCTTCTATTTTCTGCGGGCAGGCATTTGTCTTATCAGGTCAGTGAAATAGGTATATGTGGCTCAATTCGAGCATCCAAGAACCCCGATGAACCTGTATATGGGTCATCACTATTTTACCCCTGAGCGCAAGACTAGACTCCTCATCACCAACGTCAACCTCACTGTCCATACTAACTACAATTCGATCCTAGGGGAGTCCCTGTTGGAGCAAAGGTATGCACTAAAAAGTGTTTATGTTGCATCGAGTCGGCATTGTTGATGCACTGGACGTGGCTGTCGTACATATATCGAGTATACCTGGGCACCGGAAAAGGTTGTCAGTTTTCGTGCTCTTGTGCTCTCTCGTCTCTCTCTTGCTCCATAGAGGTGTTGTACTATAAGCCCGCATCACCAAGACAGAGAATCGACGCCAAATCAACTACAGGTGCATGTGGAGTCTCATCTGACCACAGAGGTTGAATAAGCTCAACAATTGAACCGAAAGCCCAGCCATAGATGAAGTTCCGAGTACTGACTTTGAAGCTGCTTCAGGGGTTCACCCACTTACACCTGCACTATACCATACAGACATTAGCATCTTGAGCCTCATCTTCCCACTTGGCCTCAAGTTGGCCTCCAAAATAAGGTTCCAACTACATTGGCCACACATCCATGCACGGTAAATATACACATCAGCCACTTGATCTTCTGCACACCACAATCGCCGCATGTCGCGGGGTGTTCCTGTGATCACTGTTGAGGGATCGGCCAAAGACGTTGAGGGGTTGGGGGAAGCCGTTGTGTCAAACTGCGAGTCTGGACCCACCTCACAGCTAAACAAAACTTATTTGTTTAACAAAAAAAGGAAGCGCATGCCTGTTTGCCAATCTCAATTAGGGTCATTAGTTCATTTATCAATCGATTGAAAAGTTATGGCAACTTGTACTTGATAGATTGGACTTGATGTTTTTGTTGTCATCTCCGCATCTCTTTGTAGCTCTCGACCTTGACCCCCCTAACAGTCAAGGGTTTGCTTAATTGTGGGTCGCCCTCTGCGGTGTTCCAAGACAACCCATCAGGGAGGAGCCTCGTGCCACTGCTTCACATTCTCACAAGACTCATACCCCTCATTCACTTCAAGCTGTCAACCAAGAGCTCCCAACTGACTGGATGCCTGCTCCGCCCTTGGCGCCTTCACCTCTCATCGCTCCTGTCCCATGACCTGCAACCGCGCTTGGCGAGATGTTTCGACTCTTGTGCTTGAAGCTTGATTGAGAGAGGGTTCTTTCTTTTTCTCCCCGTTCCGCGGCTGGTCGGGCGTGGTGTTCTTTCTCTTCCCTCGCTCTTTTGGATGTTCTATCGTTGCGCACCTGGAGCAAGCAAGAACTACACAACGCAACAGCAGGTCTCAGCTCAGCTCAACACAACTTACTTGAGCTCAAGGCGCTTCCGCTGTGCTACAGCGGTTTCTTACATTGGGGTTGTGGCAGCGTACCGTACGCTGTTGCACCTGCGGCTCAGCGGTAGTCCGGTCTCACTCAGACTTGCCTTTTTTTTTATCTTTGAATGGTGGTGGGGCTGGCATGGGCGTAACAGTTGCGCGGACTTGTGCTTGTTGCGTTGGCAGCCCTTCTGATGTACTGTTATTTCTTCTTGGATAGACACCTTCGCTGTCTTCGTGAAGTTGGTTTGGAGATTCCTACGCATCGAAATACCTAGGTCGCTGTTCCTGCTGCCCCTTTTCCGAAGGAAGTTCCGATCACATCGTACAGCATTTCAGGTTCGTTCCCTCAAGCTCTCCTAGATGGTCCTCACTAACACCTTCAACAGAACCAACCCAAAACACCTACCGCTTATAGGGTTTTGTTGAAACCAGCACATCAAACATGCACCTCGTTTGGGCCGTGGTCACCCTCTCGGCCACGGCCGTCCTTGCCTGGCCTTGGGCAACTCCGCCCCAACGGCCAGCCCATGATGAAGCCCGCAGCTGTAGTTCCAACTGCGGCTCTACCTTGACCGACGTCAGCATATTCCAGGATATGCTCTCCGCCCTGCACAACCTCCAGGATGTCTACTTCCAGCGCTGGGTCGGCACCTGGCCCAAGGGCATCGACTGGACGCGTGCGGTGATGGCTACTCACGTTGCCGCCGCGCTGAGGACAATTTCGGACCAGCTAGTCCGCGAGCTTAAGAGTGACAATAAGAAGGCAGACTCCCACGTCACCACTACCCAGCTTGACACCATCTCCCTCTATTTCACCGACCTAGTTGCCTACTACTTCGGCGAGGATGCATTCGCCATCCGCAACCAAGCCTACGACGACATGCTATGGGTCGTGCTCGGCTGGCTGGAATCGATCCAATTTGTCCACAACCACGGCAAGCTCCTCGCCCAATACCCGTCCCTCCGCCAGTCTTCTCCCGCAGCCGTCGATAGCAACGAGTGGTACGGCCACCGCTGGATCCCCGCCTTCGCCCATCGCGCTAGGGTCTTCTGGGAGCTGGCGGCCAAGGGCTGGGACACCAAGCTCTGCGGCGGCGGCATGATCTGGAACCCGCGCCTGTTGCCCTACAAGAACGCCATCACCAACGAGCTGTTCATTGCCGCCTCCATCGGGATGTACCTCCACTTCCCCGGCGACGAGAATGATTCGCCCTACACATCCAACATCAAGCTCGAGCCCCCCAACATAAGTCCCAACTTTGGCTGGCACGCGCACGACCCCGTCTTCGGCAGCGCAGCGCAGCGGGGACATGATTGGCTGCGCTCGTCAAACATGACCAATGACCAAGGCCTGTACGCCGACGGTTTTCATGTCTCTGGCCTCGGCAAAGAAGGCAACAATAACACGCGCTGTGATGATCGTGATGAGATGGTATACACCTACAACCAAGGTGTCATCTTGTCCGGCCTGCTGGGCCTCTTCCAAGCCACAGGACAAGAACACTACCTCCATGAAGGGCACGCCCTGATACTGAACGTCATCGCCGCTACGGGGTGGGATTTGACGCGCAACAAACCCCTCGAGCCGCGCGCAGAGAATCTGACTTTTTTCCTCGTCCGCGAGGGGAAGTTACCCCGCTGGCACGGCCTCGGCCGGGCTGGGATTTTAGAGGACGCATGCGACATGCGTGGATCGTGCTCCCAGGACGCGCAGACCTTCAAGGGCATTTGGATGCACCATTTCGCGACGTTTTGTGCGCCGGACGCGCTGGAGTTTGTGCACCCTCGCGCCGGGCTCGACGAACAGACGTTGGAACGGATCCGTGATGAGCATGCGGCGCAGTGTAAGGGGTATCTCCCCTGGCTAAGGCGGAACGCGAAAGCCGCCCTGGGCACGAGGGATGAGAATGGTCTGTTTGGGATGTGGTGGACGCCGGGGTTGTTGGTTGCTGAGTCGGGGGGGCGAGATTCGGTCCTATTGATGGAGAATGTCCGAGTCACTGATGACGCCTTACCCCCGCGTAAGGAGGGGGAGGTGGACTATCGGAACGAGGGTGTGCCACAGGACGAGGTGTGGATGGAGATTGGGCATGTGTTCGGGCAGGAGAGGGAGTTGCCGCCTGTTGTTGGTGAAGAGGGGGGTCAGAGGCCCCTTGGTGGCAGTGGGAGACAGATGACGTTGATGGTGAATGGGGAGAAAAGGAATGGGACGTGGAGTGGGATATTGCTGCGGAAGGATGATGTGATGGGTAGTATTGTGTTTGGGAGGGATCCGAATGTGAGGGGGAGGGGGAGGACTGTTGAGACGCAGGGCGGCGGGTTGGCTGTGTTGAGGGCGTTATGGGTTGTTTCTAGGAACGAGGCATGATGGTTATGACTCTTATCTTGTTGACGTCAGGATGGCGCTTGGAGTTTGGGTGTGATCTCTTGGCTTGGATGGAATGATTGGAACCTGGATTTATGGCTAGCATGAGCACAACAGGGTGAAAAGGGGGAGTTTGCCCCCTGACGGCTTGGACTCCGAGAGGACTGTATGGTTAGGGTTGGCATTTGTATAGGTTTTGTATCGTTATTCGGCATGGCTAGCAAGTGTGTGACCAAGGGAGGATACCCATTGAAATCGATGCTTCTTGCGACTGAAGAATCCGGAACTCGGGGTTTTGTTTGCCTTGGTGATTGATGGTGATTGAACGTCGAAATTGAGCTGCCAGGAGTAGGTTAAGGGTTAGGGTTGTAAGTCAGGCTGGCATCGTTGCCCGCAGCCTTGCATCGCGAGGAGCCCCGCGACGATTCGCATCTAATCCAGGTCGTCATTCTCAGCCCAAACCACAACACTCCCATATCCTGTCCACGCTCCAACATTTTAGCGACCACATCGCTAGTTTTTCGATTCGAAACTGTAGAGTACGTTTCACGGAACAAACAAAACTATTCATTCCCGCAATTGAAGCCAAACACACTCTCAAAATGCCGACCGACCGCGACGAAATGGACCTGGACGAGCCCGTCCAGCCATCCTCCTCCGACAAGAACGACAAGTCCAAGACCCCCGCGGACGTCAGCTCCGCCAAACTCGCCATGATGCAGACCCACAACAAGGCGACCGCCGTGCGCTCTATCGAGGGCTGGATCATCATGGTGACCAACGTACACGAGGAGGCCGACGAGGAGGCCATCCAGGACAAGTTCGGCGAGTTTGGTGAGATCAGGAATATCCATCTGAATTTGGATCGGAGGACTGGTTATGTTAAGGTATGTTTCCCTTTCCTGTTCTGCTCGATGTGGTACTAGTGGGATGCTGATGGGAACTTTTTGGCGGGGGGGGGGTTAGGGCTACGCCTTGATCGAGTATGCCACGCTCGAGGAGGCTCGCGCGGCCATTGACGGTGCACATAATACGCAGCTGCTGGACCAGACGATTCAGGTTGATTTTGCGTTTGTGCGGCCGCCGCCGGGTAAGGCTGCCGGCGGGCCGAGGTCAGGCGGCGGAGGGGCTAGCTCTGGGAGGGGAGCTGGGCGTGGAGGGAGGAGTGGGAGGAGTAGGAGTCGCAGTCCGGGGAGGGATGATTGAGGATCTTAAGGTAGAATCAGCGCAGGCTTGAGGGGATGAAGAGGGACGGGCCGATATTAACGGATGAGGTTTTTTGATGGCGCTGAGTTGAACGAGTCTAAAGGATGGCCACCTGTCCCGTTCCTTATCCCTCTTTTCTGAGAGGAAACAAAGTTTCTGAGAAAGCTTCTTCGCCAAACGATGCAATACTAAGCCGATGTGTCGTTGGCTATGGTGCAAGCCGGCCGAGAAGACACGTCGGCGTCTGTCCTCGATCCCTGGTGGGTAGGTCATGGCCCTCGCTCAACCCTCGATCTCATCTTGCTTACATCCTCTGCTGTCAGGGCGCAATACTCCGTCCGCATGCTTAATATGGGTCGGAAAGCCAGCATCAGTGGTGCAAACCACATCAGATTGATAGGTTGACAATAATTGAAGCATATTGGCCATTTGTTACAAGGAAACCTTCCCAACTGAAGTCTAGTTACTGGCGTGGTGTTGTGTTGTAATTGGAACTTCTATAGTTCTCGACCAGAGAGCCATCAGGGTTAGCCATGACAAATAAACCCCAACAATGTAGTCCGTTGTAGATAAGGTGCTCTTTCGCAACCTGGGTAGCATTGATCTCACTTGAGCCCCAAACTGCCTAGGTACACACATACAACTCCCCCGTCCAGCTCAGCCCCAAAATACAATTTAGATCCAGAGCTAGCCGACACCAACTCCCATAAACCATAAACAGAGACGCCAAAGCACGCTCTAATCACTCGGGTGACAAATCAGCAGCGAGAACGACGAGCCCCACGTTATTACAAGGCAGCCACCTCCAATTATCAATCAAAAGGGGACCAAGCTTGTACAACGGTATTACAAGATCATATATATTGCGATTTGTATCAGACAGAGTAGAACAAAGTTGTTAGAAACTACCTATCCCTTCCCCTCTTCTCTCCCTTCTCCCTCGAAACGAAAACTACGTGCAGCAAACAAAGAGAACCACAAAGGTATCGGTGATGTGAGATGATCTGCTAAGTTGATCTGATGATGATGAGAACGTGCGTTCAATCCATTCATCCATCCCATCCCATCCCATCCCATCCCATCCCATCCTTTCCATCCCCAAAACCTAACAAGAGTATCGGTTCTGTCTTCAGAGTGTTTGTGTGTGTCTGTGGTCTGTGTCCATATGATGCTGCATCTGACGGAGGGGTGGTATGCGTGCAACAGACAGCATTATAGAGGAGGGTTGGGAAGTCCTGCACAAACCAGTCGTCCATCCAAGCCCTAGTAAATATGAACAAGGGGAAGAGTACAAAGTGGAGTGGGGAAAGGGTAAGTAGGACAGACGCTAGATTTCGGGATACAATGAACTCCCCAGCAGCTTAAGAGCACGACGACTTTACTTAGGAGGTAAGTGGGAAAAAGAGGAAGAGAAAGACGAACCCATCCATCCATCCTCGACAGCATTGCCCAAGAAAAAAAGACAAGATGCAAAGAAAATCGCCCGAATAAGCAACGCACAAACTCCACTCCTGCCTGCCGTTCCGTCCATCCCATGCCTTTGAAAAGAAGAAATCCTGCCGACTAGAAAACATAGCACTGAGTCTGCGATGACCAAGCGAGAGCAAAGGAGGCCAGCCAGCCAGCCAGCCGCTCTGATGATGAGATCCCTGAAATGTTTCAGTCTAATCACGGACTGTCAAGGGTTCCTCAGGCCCTAAGCAAAGCACCCTCTGAAAAAGTCATTTCCCGAAGCCAGCATAGCACAGCAAAGAACGGTTGCAAATAGAATACATAGCCGAGCAAATTCAAGCCACATGCGTGGCTAAGGGGCCAGTCCTTAGAGGTCGCCCGCCCTAGCCTTGGCCCTTCTCCGGAAGAAGTCCATAACCCTCCTCGCGGGCCCGCTGCTGCCGGAGTGATCATGGTGGGCATCATAAGCATCCGTGAATCGCTTTGGCTTCTGCAGGACCCCGCGCTTCGAGGAGGTAGGAGTGCCAACTGTCGGCGTACGCACGTCGTTGTCGCTCTGGTTCGGCCGCGGTTGTTGCAACGGCTGAGATTGCTGTTGTGGCGGTTGGAGGCCGGATGGGTAAGGGAGCTGAGGAGCCGAGCCGGTGCCAGCTGGACGACGCAGGTTCGTACTATCGAACGAGGCATCGGAGGTGTTGAGTAGCGGCGGGGGCATGAGGGTGTCGCTGGCACTCGGGCGGCCGTAGGAGCTCGATGGCTGGTACGATTGGCGGCGATCGTAAGGCGAAGGTGAGTACCGCGGGTCATGCAACTGCGTGTACATGTTGTCGAGTGTCGTCGCTTCGGCGTGCTCGCGTCCAATGTTCTGGTCGACAAGTTGACCAGACTGGCTGGGGGTTGGCGGCTCTTGGATAGGCAGATCTTGTTGCGAGTCGAGCTGGGATTGCGAGCGTTCTTCCTTGCCCCCCTTGGAGAGGTAAGGCAGGAAGGAGAACCGCCTGCCCTTCTTTTCCTGCGAGCTAGTGATACTACCCGAAGTCTTCTTGCCGATGCCGATCGAGAAGGATCTCCGAGAGCGCCTAGAATCCAGAGATGTTCTCGAATGTTCATCACCGCCAGGCATGGAGTTGTTCATGCTAATAGGAGGATATTTCTTGGTCTTCTCGCCAGACTGCTCCTTCTTGCGGTTCTTTCCCCCGAAGATAGAGCCACTGCGGCCAAAGAGCTTGCCGCTGATCTCGCTCATCGTATTGGATCTCTTGTGGCCCTTAACTTCAGAGGATCCTTGGGTCGTACCGACGCTACCAGGAGTAGGTGTCTCTCCTTCGCGATTATTAAACCCAGAAAGTTGAATGAACTTGGGCGGGACGCTGCTGAGGCCGGGCCGGGGATGATCTGACTGTGAGTGAGGTGTTGGGCTGGGGATGCCATAATTGCTCGTCTTCGGAGGTTGCTCGATCCGCCCTTCGACATTGGCATCGTTGAGCTCGGGAGCAGCAGGCTGGCTGTACGAAGCCCTTTTGTTTGCGTTGTTGGAGCTGATAGAGCTGCTAGTAGGCGGTCCGTCGGCCGGCGTGTGCGACAGGTTCTGTAGCAATGATGCAGGTGCAGGGGCTGGCTCTGGGGCTGACCGGGCTGGCTGCGTGGTGCGCACAGCGACGACTGACCCTCCAGCACGCTGCTGAGAGCTTTGCGGCACCCTCGTGGATGTTGATTTGCTGAAGTCCTCCTTGACGGGCTGGCTTGGCGTGGGCTTCTCTCTAGTCGGATCGCGTGTGGGTGCTGGAGCGGTGCTCTGGCTTGCCGACCGGCTACCCGTCCGGCTGCTGAATGGCTGCGCGCCAGACGACTCGCCTCGCTGGGTGTTCGTGCTGGGAGCGACATATTCAACCTGTACTGTACGGCGCTTGTTATCTCTCTGCTGCCGAGTGTAAGCAGCATCGGAATCAACGTCAACAGTGCCCTGCTTGGTAGCGAGGCCACCAATCGAGCTCGTAACCGGGGCCTTCTTCGACGACTCGCGAACCGACGCGCTACGTGCAATAGTGGGAGTCTCGTCGAAGTCCTCGGGAGGAACCGTGGTGTTCTGAATATCCTTCGGGGTGGTCGTGCTCGAGGTAATGAACTCGACGACATGGGCGTACTCGCTGAGCCAGCTGTGGCGAGCAACTTCGAAGAGATCGGCGCGTTTCCGGGGATTAGGAACAAGGATTCTGCGGAGGAGGTCGCGGGCGTGTGGGGTAACATAGTCGGGGAATGTGAGCGGAGTGTTGACGATGTACTTGTAGAGGAGGTTGATGTTGTCGCCTTCAGGATTTGCCGGATCGTCGTCGAAGGGGAGATAGCCGGCCAGCATGGCGTACTGTTTCATGGTCAGCAATCGCCCCAAGCACAGGTATTGACGCAACCTACCAATATCACGCCGCAGCTCCAGACATCCACCTTCCTACCGGTGTATAACGAGTCGCTAACTACAAGCTCGGGAGCTGCATAGCAAGGACTGCCACAACTTGTCTGCATCAGGTCTCCCCTCCTCATACCATTGGGCTTGATCTTATCCAGCCCCATGCGCTTTACGAACTCCTTGTCCGACAGATTCATCTCCTCTTCCTCGGTGAGTTCGTCGTTGGGGTCAAAGGTGTTGGCAAAGCCAAAGTCGGTAATGATAATGTTGCGATTGCGGTCGAGCAGCAAGTTCTCGAGCTTCAAATCGCGGTGGACGATGCCTTTCTTGTGCAAATAGCCCACACCGGAGATGAGTTGAGCGAACAACCTCCGAGCGGCGTTGTCCTTCAGGTATCTGTGGTTAAGGATATAGTCGAACAGCTCGCCTCCCGACGCGTATTCGAGCACGATACCATAGTGTCTCTCGGACTCCTCCATCTTGTGTAGCTTGACAATGTTCGGATGTGTTAGTTGCTTCAAGATGGCGACCTCGCGCATGATCTTGGCCATACGAGCTGGGTTGTTACCCAGCTGATCCTTCTTGATAAGTTTGATTGCAACCTGCAGCACATTCGAGTAAGCAGACGAACACAACTTATCCATGGTTGCTGTTCCTTCCACATACCTGATGACCAGTATCTGCCTTCCAACCAAGCTTAACTTTACCGAACTCGCCCTCACCGATCGTGTTCCCCAGGATGTACTCGCCAAACCGCGTCGGCTTCTCCTTCTTCGAGTGATCGTGTCTACTTCTAGCACCACGTCTCGGCTCTTCGCCATGGTCGGCGTGGGAAACAATAGGCGGCGGCGCGGCATCGTCGTCATACAGAGGTGCTTGTTGATGGGCCTGGATCAACGCCATACGCTCCTTTTCACTCCGGGCCTCGTGCTGAGAATCCAGAAAGTTGTTCAGGATTTCGCTCGCGTCTCTCGACGGGCCGTTGCCGAAATGCGTGTCAGCGGGAGGGGAACGAGAATACGCGGCTGCCGAGGTATTTCCCCGGCCATTCGGGGAGTAGGGATCTTGATATGTCCGCCTGCTGCGGGAGGGATCGGAGGGATCTATCCTGCCATTGGTATCACGGCTAGAATCTTGGTTCGTTCGGCGGGGCGAGTCGACAGGTCTGTCGGTCGGTTGAGCGCGTCGTGTGCTCGACGTGCGAGGGGGAACAACGGCGGGCATGGTTCGTCTCCGATCGGGAGAACCGAGATGATCTGGGGAATCGGCAACCGGGCTTACGGGGACGGGAACTGGAGGGGCGACCGCTGCGCGGGACGTCATTGGGGAAAAGATATCAGACTGCGGATGACTGTTGGCTCAGGATTTGTGGCACAGTCAGCGCGGAGGGGATATCGATGATTAAGCTGCTGCTGCTCTCGTCGTCGATGTTCTGAGGGGCTGCCGCGTTGCATGAGAGCCGGGACGTTCCCGAGTCGGTCGAGTCGATCGGCGCTGGAGGGGGCGGGGATGTGGTATGGACAATGGGAGAGAAATGGCTGCCGTCCGAACTTTGAGGGAGTCTCGTGTGCGATAGCGGTGAAGCAGAAAATTGGCGTTAGCTGATGGGGCCCGGTTCTGGGCAGGAGCGCCGCGAGGATCAAAAGTGGGTATGGGCAAGTATTGTAGTGTCGCTGACTTGCTGGGTTGCACTGTTGCAAGAGTGCAGAGTTGCAGAGGCGCGCGGAAGACGTCGGGCGAGATGCGAGCAAGCCGAGTGCAGCGCAGGCTTGAATAAGCAGCAAATGCGAGGGTAGTGTGAGGGCTTGGCCTGGCTTTCGTGCAGGATTTCGCTCGACAAGCGGAATTAAGGACGAAATATGAGTGGTGACTGGTGACTGGAGCGCAGTGCGGGACGCTGCGATAGGCCCAGGTGCGCAGGATGTTGATGGGCTGCCACAAGAGCAGATTTCAGTTAGGTTGGTTGAGGTCCAGTTACTGCCTGTCACTGGGCAGGGTTTCCGGTCTGGGAGCGAGAACCCGGAAGCAACCTGAATGTGGGCAAAGAGGGTCAGCCTGGGCCGTGAGTGGGCTGCGCGGCGGGCGAGACTCTCAGGCTGTGGAGGCAGGAAGTTGCGGTCGGGCGCGCTCCAGTCGTGGTCACCGGGGCCAGGTCGTTAGGTCGCTCGCTCGCCGGGCGATGGATGAAGTGCTGTGCCCGCAAAGACCAGGAAGCCTGGGGATAAAAGCCAGCCAAACAGCCGGACGTGGGCTCGCCCTGTTGGTATTGAAGAGAAAGCCGGACGACCGCGGGCGGCGTTCTGGCAGCCAACTTATCAATGCAAAGCCTGCAAAGGGCTGCCTCGTTGTTTGACGCCGACTCAACGCGTCAAAAAAAAAGATAAGAAAAAGAAGGATGCGAGGTCACTCGAGTGATGGGATGCACTTTCAAAGTATCATCAATGGGCCAGTTCGGCAAACCATGATGCGCTGCGCAGCGATTGAGTGATGCGATCTGGCAAAAGAGCGGGGATTGGATGGGCTCGCGTTCTGCGCTCCAATTGCTCGCCTTGTCGACTCCCACAGCACGTTTGCCGTGTGATGCAGTGCACGTCGCAGCGGTGCGACTGTTTGGTCTGACTGAAGTGAGGTGAGGTGGTGAGACTAGGAGAAAACTCAACAACAACTCTCGGGTTCTGGGGACGTCTGATGCTGGGTCGGCGTCCACGGGTCGGAGCTAGGGTTCAAAGCAGGGCTGTAGGTTACTTGCGCCGCAGCCGCAGCACACACAACGGGACCTGAGCCCCTGGCGGTTTTTTGGAGAGAAGCTGGAGACGCGGAACGTCCGAGCAGCGCTGGACTCACAAGGGCGGCCGAAGGGAAGCCTACGGACGATTTGCGCGCTGAAACGAGCTGTTTCCCCCCCCAATTGGCACCGGAAAAAGGAGGTTTTGAGGGGAAGGATGGCGGTGAGAGGGAAGGAGAAATTGGTGACAAGATGGGATGGAAAGGGGAAATGCAATGTGGGCTTGATGGTGATGGGTGGTCCAGTGTTTTTGTCGCGTTGCCTGGCTCACTGCCAGGGCTCCAGGGCTGCTGCTATGGACGATGGTTTGGCGCCTCTTCTCAGCCAGCCCGAGCGAGCAGGGCCCTCGTCCGCTCTGTGCTCCACCAAGCATCCCAACCACGCTTCTCGGCATGCGGATGGTGTACGATAGGCATGTGCTCGGCGCACAGTAAGAATTTCGGTTGTCCCGAGCCGGGCCTTGCAAGGCGACCCTCGCTCACGACGGCGCGCATCCGTGCATAACGTGGGGCTAACAGCAATACTTCAATTTACTATCAAAAATGCTGCAATCCTAAGTATCTTCTGATAAGGTTATGGACTTCATGGGGCCTCTTTTCGATCCTTTTAATTGACCAGGACTAACGCCATCAGCTGGCCACGAGAGTGTGCGATATTGTGGAAAGAAGTATTATTCGCTGCATGGGAAAAAGCATTCTCGACATCGAACATCAAGCTGACCATTGAGATTTTCCCTCCGCCCACCAAGACGATAAACTCTTCAAACAAGGCCGCCAACGGGTCAACTGGTGCTGTCGCAGCGTTGAGGTTCGACGGCCACTGGCCCATGGCCGCAAATCTGCGGCCTCAGGATAGCAAGTTACAGTTTTCAAGCCAGCCCGCCAATACATTCGCGCAAGCAGCTCCCAAACCGTCGAATCCTCCACCTGGCCATGATCTGGTACCGAGCTGAAATTTGTGGTTTTTTTTTTGATACCAAGATCTTCCAACGTCTGACATCACACTGAAAACCGCATGTTCGGCCGCGCAAAGCCGACAGCTTTTTGCTTCTTTCCGAAAGCCACAGCTTGATGGCTGGATAACTACCTCCCGCCTGCCGTCTGATGTTTTGCGTGGATCCTTGTCCAGATCGCTCACCTTGTGCAGATCGGGAGAGAAGGGCGTTGGCCTTTGATCCATGCCAAGAGGTCGAGGAAGACACCGGCACTGTGTCTTGTCCCAAACGAGCCTAGCCTGCGGGCCCGTTCCTGATGCCAAGCCCATAAGTTTTTGGATCGTGTGGGTTGGTAGTATAGCAACGTTCAAGGGGCATCATCGCGCACACGCAAAAAGCCGTGTACTCCAAAACTCCCTTTTGAGGACTCAATGTGTCGTCCGTCGATGAATATGATGTTGGCTAGTGGGATCGTAGCCAAGTATTCCGCACTCCGAGTCTACGATTACAATCAGTTCCAAGTCCATGTTAACTTCTATTCTGGATCGTTGCTTCGTATCCGTCGGAGCGGATACCGACGGGGACGCTCTCGCTGTCAAGTCAAAAAAACCCCGGAGGGTTCCATCTTCCGCTACCCAGTTCCGAGTCCGCAGCGCCATCACAACGATCTTAGCATGAGACGCTTCCCGCATGGAAATGACGTATCCGTCGTTTATATCAAGGTGGGTGACACAAGAAAGAGCGCTTAAGTTTCCAGTCTCAAACATCCAACGCTCCCCCATCCAATACTGGAGGATACCATCAAAAAAAACAGTCTCATTTTTATTTTTTTTTTGCCTAACCCGCAACATCGTTTTCCCCCAAATATCCCACGGCATAGCCGAACAAAAAGCATAAATGTCGGAGATGAGGCGCAGAGAGTGAGCACATGGGTCCGCAGACTTTGCGTGTATGTAACTCTTTTCCCCATCGCACATTTATGCGCTTGCCGCCACTCTCAGACCAGTCAGAAGAACATGCCGGAAAACATCCAGCATCGATCGATCGATCGTGAAACACAGAAATTCAATCATGGCTTTTATGATTTACTTCTTGAATCTCCTTGAATTCTCGTCCTGATCGACTGACAACATTCCCTGTCGGGAACTGCGGCTGATCGTGCAAGGAAGGATCCTTGCCGGAATGTCCCCAAATCAAGCATCCTTACCCTGCCAGGGTTGTCCGAAACGAGGGTATCTGTCGTGTTGCGCCGCGGTGTTCACCACTGCATTCTCGGACATTGCCAATTCAGAATCGGATTTGTGTCAGTGAAGGTGTCTTCGTTGTTGCTGAGGTGAGCGTGTAGATGTCGTAGCAACCAGCCAGCCCAAGCATGAAGAAAATACGCTAAGTCTAGGCCAAAAGACCATCCGAGACGACCTCCATCGCTGGCCTTTTGATGCAAGCAGCCGGTCTTTGTAAGGAAAAAAATGTGTACAGAGCGAGAATGGGAATGATGCAGGTTAATATATCTCAGATGCATTGTGCCGCCCTGCTCCTGGCATCTGGCATAGAAGCGAGAGGTACCCGACGAGACTGGATAATTTGAGCTGCATCAAGCGGGCGTGCTGCGGGGACTATACGCCATAAGCTACACATCGTACGGATAGCCGGAACTGAGTCCATCACGTTGATCTACGCGAATTCCTGGCATAGGACATTCACAAAAGCAATGATAGCTAGCAGCTTGACGCATGTGTCTTGTCGTATTGAGCGAACAACTCTCATCACCAAACGGCTTGTCTCACACACTGCCACACGGACGGCAACCCACATGATCTACTGACGCCTCATACGGGGCAAAACAGGTTCTGAGCCCTCTGACCGATCACACCAAGGTCTTGGACATCTATTTTCGGTTGCTATCAGTGTCGACAGAGACAAAATTACAACTTAATAGTAACATCGTACATGTCCAACACAACCGCGAACCCCGTAAGCGCCACCATATACGCGAGCAGGATGGCCATGGTCGTGCCCGCGCCGACATCGAGCGTCGGCACGGTCAGGTTGACCAAGCCGGTCAGCAGGTTCGCGACCAGGAACACCGGCAAGCCGTTGCGGTTGTAGGCACGGAGCACGCGACTCGTCGCTATTTCGTAGGCCTCCTTTTCGGTCTTGGAGTCTGTTGCCTTGTAGAAAGCTGGAAAAAGGACGGTGTCGACGACGGCAAATGCTAGGACCAGTACACTGTTGAAGGCGACCACCCATAACATGTACGGCAGGTTAGCCATCCGCCGGGAGACGGTTAGCCCCGCGCCGTACTTGTAGTCCGTGCAGAGGAAGTATAGGACGAACGAGCCTAGCGACCAGGCGCCTAGCTTGAGCCAGAGCGTGGTGCGCTTGGAACCCGGGCCTAGGTTTCGCGGTAGAACGAGCATACCAACGTCCTGGCCGGCTAGGAATATGGCGAGGTAGCCCCAGAAGCTAAAGATGCCCTCCCTGTTCATGGAGAGCAGGTTTGTCCGCGGGCTGACCAGGATGTATGCTTTCAGCCCAGTGCTCTCCAGCACGATCTGGTAGAGTACGCCCAAAAGAACGGCGAGCCCGGCATACGAGGGCACAAATTTGAGCGCAGACTGGAACAGCGCCACGAACGGGGGCAGGAGGCCCAAAGTAAAAAAGAAGTTCCAGTGCACTCCATACTCTGTCACGTGCTCCGCATAGTCAACCCCCTTCACACTGATCAAACGAATAACACCCAAACCCAGCAGCGGAAGTGAGTGGCGCAAAGAGCTGGCCAGCCTCATCGCCAACGGCGTAGTCATGCCCTCGGCACGCTCCTTGAGCACGGCCCGAGAGGCCACAACCCCGGCCGAGAAGACGAAAGAGCCGACGCCCATGTCCATTAGCGAGGTACCCCAGGTCTCGACCTTGGCAAACCGGCGGGGGAACAGTCGGAAGTCAACTGCAAGAATGCATATGCATGTCACTACCATCATGTTACCCCGGTAGTGCGTAAGAAATGGCTTGGTGGAGATAACGCTCAAGGGCGTAGCCGAGGCCGAGGAGGTCGAAGCTGTCTTAGGCTGCGCATTTGGCGGGAGTTTTGGTTTCTTGCGCCGTGAGACGTTCGGAGGAAGCGCATAAACGATGAAAGCTGCTGTCAAAAGCAGGATATTCAGGAGCAGGGGCGCGCTGGAGTAGAGAGTGACCGACAGAAGGAGCGCGCCAACATTCAGAAGAAAATCAACGGCAAAGCCGAGCGGTGTGTACGGTTTGAAGAAAGATTGTCTGGCCTGCAGAACTGACCATAGCAAAGCAACAACCTGCAGAGCAGTGTTGTTTTGTCAGCATCGATGAAGTGGAACAAGCGATAAAAACAGCCATTCACTTCGGGTTGGATAGCTCATACCGGCGCGATTGCGCAAACTTGAGCAATCTCGGTCACCGATCCTCCAGACAGATTTGACACAAAATCTTCTTTACGCTGTTTGTAGCTTGGTGTCGCTGTGGTATTGTTGGCTCCGTTGCCGTCGGTGACCGTCATGGCAAAAGATGGTGGTGATAATGAGTATGAAGATGGAAAAGGAGGGTGAAAAATCGGCCCGTTAAAGAAAGGCGAGAGCTGGTGTCAAAGAGCTCGAAGCTGCCAAATCTCGAGCCGCGCAAACATTCATGAGTTACCCCGGAGGGGATTGCAGAGAGAAGTAGCTGGGAACAGATACTGTTGACAGCGGTGCCAACAAGCTGAGACGAGGAGGAGAAGATGTGAGAAGATGCTTTGCTTCTTTCCATCAATCACAACTTCCAAGCTGTCCATTGCTGGAATGCCAGCTTGCGGTTTCCCGACAAAATGCAGGCCGTCAAGGTACTGCATGACGCTGAGTTCAACCAATCAAAGGCTCGATTTATGTCCAGTGCCTGGGCTCCCAAGACCCACCACAGTGGAACTTGGCTTGTCACTTGTCGCCTGCATTCCAGATCGCCGGGACCTTGGGATGAGAGAGGAGAGTTCAAGACTCATCAACTCACTTTAACTCACAAGACCAGTCTGAGCTTCTCTCAACTTTCGTTTCGCGAACTCTGTAAACTCGTCCTCGGTTCTTCTCATTCAACAACAATCAATAATCACCAACATTGTCAGCTCCATTTCAGACCATGCAAAGTCTACATCCAACTAACAACGCGAGGCTTCTATACATCATCAGCCCCCGCATCGTGGCTTGCATCTTGAAAGTTGTTTGCTCGCGATGCTGTCTATGGGTGGCGTGTTCTTGAGCTTGTTTCTTTGTTCTCTTCCCAGAGTCACGAGACCTTGTACGACCCTCGCAGAGCTGGGCGATGAACACATGGGGTGGGTTGCATGCCAACATACAGAGAAGAAAATGTGGCAGATGCATGGGTTTCTTTGTTCGAATGCGGGCGACAAGCTGCGCGCTCAAAGCGTTGTCTCGCAACTCCGCGTCTGGCTGACTCAACAGCGCGCTTGCTTTGATGATACGGCCGTCCAATTCCTTTCATTATCGAAGGATGGGAGTGGTATCTACAAAAGCAATAACGAATACCCATTGATACTTCAGCCGTGTTACTCGTCTCTGTCATCGTCAATGGTGAATCCTTCTGTGTGAGAGCCTTTTTTTTTTATTACAAAAATAAAAGCTCTCAAAGTCTCCCAGAACTAGCAGCAATTCCTTTCCCCGGCTCAATTCCAAGTGCAAGGCCTTAAGTACTATTTTCAACCCACCTCTAACAGGATCTTAGGATCAGCGATGAGGAAGCAAACCCGGGCCCGTCCGGAATTACACCCTGTGCAAACCAGTGTTGATGACCGCAAGAGCTCGCCGACGCCGTCCGCCATGTTCTCTGCCACTAGCTCTCTTTTCCCGGCTATTACCAGGACGGATGGCCTTCTCAGCCCTATATGTCCTCCTCAGTCGCCAGGCTACGACCTAGTTGAGAGGAAGCGCCGCCGAGCTGTGGATGAACACCACGACCGAAGGGAAAAATATGATGCGCCGTTACCAATGACTGCTCGCTCTCTGTCTCCAATATCCGAACACATGATGAGTGACCGGCGGCCGTTTACAGCCAATCTTCCCCCTCCAAGCGCAAGGGTAATTTCACCTTTGTCCCCCGATCCGCACCCAGAGCATTCAAGGAGGCCAACACTTGCCGAGGAGACACGATCAATTTTGCTTTCCGGACTACCAAATGACGCAACCCGTCAAGAAGCAGCAGCCCATAGCCCTCCAAGCGACCGACGTCAGTCCCTGCCCGCATCCATCCTCAGCGCCCGGCGAAGCAGCATTGAACTCCAGCAAAAGCTCGAAGAGCGTGGCCGCACCTACAACTCGGTCTACTTCGTCGCAGCAGTAGCTCTCCGGCGGGCGAGCGACAGCTCTTCGTCAGTAAACGAGGGAGAATCCGGCAAGACATCACCAATCGACGGGGACACGGTCACAATCCGCGCGCGTATCCGGCCCTGCGCACCAGACCGCAAGCCCTTCCTCGTCAAGCGCACCTTCGACCGCACAACCCTCCCAGAGCTGCCATCCCTCGGAGCTAGAAGGTTGTCTGCGATCAGCCCTAGGAGCAGCATTGCACTCAGCCCGAACCCCCGGCGCTCGTCTGTTGCGGTGGAAGTGGACTTTGGGCCTAGCGGGGCGGACAAGTCGCCTGTTCGGTGCTCGAATCCCGTGCCGATTCGTAAGTGTCATTCTCCATTGTAAGGTGCCGAGTTGCCGTTTCTTTGCTAACATCAAAACAAAGATCTGCTTTATGCTCTGATATACTTCCCCATTCTCGGGCATCTTATGTGCTCGAAGCACATTAACCCACACGACAAGATTGACTTGCCGCTTCCTAGTCCGGAGGCATGGCTCCAGACTGTTCAGTATGTTTATACCGGACAGGGAGAGCTGACTGAAGCTATAAGGCAAAATATTTTGTACCTCGGAGGTAAAGTGTGAGGACAGGGGTCATGAGACTCGCGGAGGGTTTCGTCATGTGACCCATGAAAGAACCACAACGTCGCAGACATGGCATGTGGGCTCTTTCACTTTCTTTCTGATTCTTTTTCATTGTAGGTATCTCTTCTGGCAAGGTTTAGCCTGGGACTTCTCTAGTAACGGGCTTGCATAACTTTGATGAATGACACAAAATTTTGAGCCTCCGTTTTCCCAGCGCTGCAATTAGTTAGTCTTCAACGTTTTTACTGGCCGCTTTCTACGTTGAAGGTCCAGTGTTTTTTGTGCGCCTATCCAGTCATTCGTCCCGAACAGAACAAATGAGAGCTATTCAGTTCTCACTGAGCATAAGCATTCGTGCTAGCAGGGACAGGCACGGTTCCAGGGGCTGTAGGAGGTGAACACGCGGCTGTGCAGTGTTGATTTCTCCCTCTTGGCTTGCGAGTTGCCAACTCCCTGGTAGCAATGCCTAGGCCTTCCCCCGCATTTTATGTTTGGCCACCCACATGTTCATCGGACTCGTCAGAAATTTTCAGTCAGGGGCAACCCGCATCGAGCCCCCAACCTTTTTCTCTTGAGTTGTGGGCTTCCTACACGAACTTTACTTCAGTCCTTTCCTCGTGGCGGATCAGCCCCATAAACCCCCCCTGGCCAAGACGATGACCCACGCTACACTAACTGTTCTCCTCGGGATAAGTTTTTGCCCCCATCTCTCGAGCAACATATATATGTATGGAGATTTGCCAACCTTGCATCACCATTGGTCCGAGGCTGAGCGATGGTCTAAGTGGGCGCATACAAGTTGATCCTGCAGTGGGCCGCGGTCCCCCCACGCGGCTCTTTTGCTCCTTGTGACAGCAGTTGGACTTCAACCACACCTCTTAAACACGTAACATCAACGTGAGGGCCTGATGCATGATTTACATGCAGTTGGGAAGTCATAGTGCTGACATTGCATCGCAGGGGGTGATCGTCTTTGCAGTAGTCACATTGAAAACGACCATCCAGCAGTTGAGTCGAAGAGCATGCGCCAAGACAACGTTAACAAGAAATGACAATAGCTGCAGGATCTCATAGACGGTGAGCACGCTTGCTTAGCCTGCGGTGTTTCTCTTGGTCATCCGATCGACCATTGACCCTTCCGTCTGCAGCTCTTCTCTACACTGTCGTTTGGGACCTCGGACTTGGCATCCTCTTCTGATCCGTCCGTCGCGTTTGGAACAGTCCTCCTTCCCATCACCATGTCAGCCCTTTTCCTGCTCTGCTGCTCGAACCATCTTAAAACATCTTTGCACTTTCCCTCCGCTAAAATCATCGTCAACAGGACTTTGCAGACTCCTGCACTGTCGCGGGGAGATGTGGCCAACAGTATCATAACCAGATAATTGCAAAAGCTCGCCGGCCAGCCCACCGTCCGGTGGTGGTGAGGTGACCAGCTACAAAACCCCCAGCGGGAGTTTTGCTTCGTCGTACGGCGGTGGCGATCGGTCGGTCGGTTGACAGTACGATGGCGGGGGAATGAGCCCCTAATCATCCACGGGCCTGTTGTTTATAAGGATGGGTAGAATCGCTTCCTCCTACTCGAGTTGAACCTCGCGCTTCGGGGTCAGGAATTCCAGACTTTCATTGCGGGTGGCCGCGACCCTCCTATCAGGCCATTGCCCAGTAGAAGGCGCTGATTGTCGAAAGGGGCGCTGCGGAAGTAAGAGATATAGTTTAAAGGTGTGGTTGGAGTGGGTTAGGAAGGAAGATATGAGGAGAGGCTGGGGAAGGAAAGAGGTGGTCAATGCTCTACCACGAGAGGCTTTCTCTGCCTGCTTGCTGAGTGGAGGCCACCTTTGCTTCCTGTAAGCCCTTTGGTGGAAGCTTTGATGATGAAGCAACTTGCGATTCTGCCGTTCGAATCCGCACTGGTCCTCACTATCGTCGACAACCTGGAACTCAGCCAAAGTCGGGGACAACCGTATGTGCGACATGCCCAACACCACGGTCGGTCTTTTAGCATGTGCCTATGTGCCTTACCGATCAGCTGTCTAACTAGGTATGTGCGCCTTTACCATATCGTCACGACAATATCAAAGGTAACTCCGTTTGCTTAGTCAAGATGCGTTTTTTTTCGTTTGTTCTCGGCGTACTGCTCAGATGTGCGACAAGTCTCCCTCCACATAGGTGACTCCAATACGCATCGCAGATCACTCTTCCATTGCACCTGTCATCGCGCGAGAGCAGACTTGAAGCGACGAATGCATCTGGCGGTACAGTCGACTCAAGCTGAATACCAAGTCGCCACCGATGAGGGCGCCAACGAGATCCTGGTTGTACTCGAACACTGAAACTGGATCACGACATCACCGTCTGAGCCATCTTGTTCTTCGACTAGGACCCTGTTATGAGTACCAAAGTCGTGTTGATGGATTTCGGTTAAGTTTTCCCCAACTCAATTGGCAACAGCAGGGGGGGGTGTCTAAGTGTCAGAGAGAACAGGATGAGGAAGGATGGTTTGATGTCTCCGATGTTTACATGGCTGAAGGCAACATTGACACGGCTCACAATGAAACGAAAAGAATCGAAGGGAATTTGCTTCGTTAACGTGAAACGCTAACATGACCAGAAGTCTGATCACTGTCACATTTTAGAGGTTCCTCAAGGCCGTCGAGTATGCAAGAGCGATATGGAGCACTAGGCTTCTTCGCCCAGAGAGAGTCGAACGGGACAAGCATGGGAGAGAGATGAAACGGGAGGAGTCTTTGCTTGGGGTGTGGGTTGAGTCAGGGGTTATATGCATCACCCTGTTTTCACTTGCTACCCGCTGTGTCCCCATCCCACACCTTCCGGATCGGTGGCGCCCACTGATGACAGGTTCCTCTCTGCTTGGTTGATCTCCTCAGACACCCTCGATTGGCTTGGCTTGAGAGAAACCCCTATAAGGAACAAGGCTTTTCAGCCTTGTTTGCGGTTTCTCCCACCCCTCAGACAAGACTGACCAACCGCGCGAACATACCCTGTCAACTACCACAATAGTAACGAACGCCACAACTCATTGAACGATTCCACGACTTGGCTTGAGCATGGACACGTGTACTTGCACTGTACAGCACTTTGATCGCAGGGGGGCGGAAGGGGCTGCTCGGCAAGCATGCCGGGCCAGTCATGATCACCTTCTCTGCCTCGGCTCACCATGCCGCTGCACGTGGGAGACCGGGGACGTACGGTGATAATCAGAGGAAGCCAATTGCGACCACACGCGAGAGCAACGGCAGCACCCGGCTGGTTGACAAGAAGAGTCTGGCACGTGGTTTCCGTCTGGGGAAGGGGGAGGTTGGGGGGGAGGGCGTGGGGTGCATCGGCACAGAATGTCGATCTCGGACGCCCGAATGCGTCTTTTAGTGGCATGCTTTCGGGCCGCCAAGGGCATGACATGCTTCAGCCCTAGCCGGATCACTCTTCCTACGCTTCGGGTACACTTACCGTGACCCACGAAGCCACGGAGGCTGAGAAGGGTAGTGAGCCACTGGGTCGTGGCTAACGCCGCGTCAACGCCGCCCAGTTGGTGCTCGGCAGCCTGTTCTGGCATATCAAGCAACATCTCGTGGCACTGGTCTGACAGACTCAGCAGCTACGCTACCTGGCTATGTCCTTTTGAGCCATGGTGGATGAGGGGGAACAATATGGAACACTCCGTACGGAACACTGTCCCAGCTAGGCCTGTAGCCCCTCCAGCCCCCGGTACAGAGTCTGGACGGCACGGTCAGGGGGTTGTCAGGGGACGCAGGTGGGGGGAACGGCCCGGGGAGCAGGTCGACGTGGCCCGGATCTTGGCTGCGAATAGGAAAGGAGTTCGGGTACTGTGTCCTGGTGCGCGCTGGGCAGGTATCATCGTGAGGCTTGACGTCAGTGGGCGCGACGGGGCCCAGTGGTGCTCTGAAGTCAACACGACTCGAAGCCGAATTGGTGAGTTTAACCTATTCATATGTAGTTTGGAATAGCATTGCCATTGATATTTTTCTCTCATCGGCATTGGTTCGCTGGCTTGCCATTGCAATCTCAACAAGACTCTATCAAGGGGCGACTGACGGTTATATCCCAAAGGGACGGACCGTTCCATCCGCGGCCAGAGACGTTGGCGATAACACTAAACACACCGCCAATTTTATACGAGCAGTTCTGATCTCAGATTGGATACTGAACTTTGAACTATCCTACATAGGCGAATTGCGCCATGCAATCTAGATCTCTAACCAGCCGATCGTCAACGGCCCAGTCAAGGGGTCAAAACCCCGGTGTGTCACATATGTAAACACCACGAATGCACACTATCCTAGCGATATCAAATAGTCTATTCTCTATCTACAAAGTCTTTTGCTGGAAATGCTCAATCGAAAACTGAAACGCCCTACCATTGTGTTCCAAACATTTTGCCGTTACTTTCCGCAATATCAAACTCCTTTAACGTTCATGCAACCGGGGTTACTTGAGACTTTTCAAGACTTCTCCTCCCCCCCCCTTTTTTTGACAAGGCATCCATGAGTAACCGTTAACGCTCGGGATTGTAAGATGCGATTGCAAGAGGCGTAGCTAACACCTCCACAAGATGCTAAGCTCACAAGCGGATCTCAACAAGATCAGAGAGATTCCCACTCCACCCGCCCCCCCTCCTCCGGAAAAAAAATAGCTCTCAACTATCTTACGTCCGGCAGACCAACAGGCACACGCTAAGCCGAGGGCCGAAATGCGGCAGCGGAAAGAGATAAAATGGGCATCATGAGGTTTGAGCAGTAACGTTCCAAATGCTCTTCAATTATGCTCAGAAACTTAAGCATACAATGTGGCAACAGACCTCGTATTCCACGTCGACATCTTCCCACCATGCTCAGTCCCATTTTCTCCCACGGCAACATCACACCATGTGCTTTTTCAGCTGCCCACCATAAACATCCGTAAAAAAAATCCCTTGCTTTTGCCGCTTTGTTTGCACTGTGCTGCATCTCGCACGGAACGGCAGCGGAAAACATGCACTTTTGCGAACTGCCTGCATCTTGGGGTGGAGCTCTGTCGTTATGTTTGTGGGGTGGGTGTTTGTGTTTGTGGGTTGATGTGGTGGAGA